ACAATACTAGTTTTTACTAAAGCCACACCTATCATGGCTGGGGATATAGGTCAATGTGATAATAAAAGGTCATTTCACTACATTGTTGTTTCTTTAGAGGAAAAAAATCACCTTATAAACATTAGCCTAAACAAAAGATAATAAGGAAAATAAATATGGTGGACAATTAGTGTATTTTAGAGATTAAAAACATGAACCTGGCTGGGCAGTGATGGTGTACACCTTTAATCCTGAGGCAAAGGCAGGTGGATCTCTGTGAGTTGGAGGCCAGTTTGATCTACAGAGAGTTCCAGGACAGAGAACCCATGGCTTGGAAAACAAACAAACAAACAAACAAGCAAAAACAAAAAACCCATGAACTCAAAAGAAATTTTATTTTCTAAAAGGTCTATCTGTAAAGGTGAGTCAGTATTGTTACACTGGGGTACATTCAAAATTTCAGAAGCTGTTATTTTTGTTCCTAAAATCAGAAATAACTGCAAATAATTCTATACTATCTGTATATAGAGTGCTTTTTGTTGTTGTTTTTGAAACCAGAACATTTATGACTAATTGAAATCTTCAAGATGAACTTAATGCTTCCCTCACAGAATCCATGTCTCAATCTACAATAGACAATTTTAGGTGCCTTATCCACCCAGGCCCAGTAGTGTTTCCTAGTTTAGCCTTGGCACTCTAGTTACACTTTCTCTATAGCTTGGAAGTGTAGCCACATTTGCTACAGGTTCTACTTCTGAAGGTGGCAGGGCTTGGAGCCACAGCAGTGGCACATGTGCATCTTATGGAGACACTTTCCAAGGGATGATGCTCCTTTCATCATCTTGATTCTTCCACCAGGGCCAAAGAGACTGGAAGAAAAAGCACTTCTGTTTTTTAATTTAGAAGATTCTTGTATTAGTCTCTGTTCTAGTTAGGGTTACTACTGCTGCAATGAAACACCATGACCACAGCAACTTGGGGGAATCAACCTTTCTTACAGGGTGCCTTCTACAACTGAAATAACACTTCACATCAAAACACCATTTTGGAAAGGGTTTATTTAGCTTACACTTTCATATCATTGTTCATCATTGATGGAAGTCAAGACAGGAACCCAAACAAGACAGGAGCAGATGCAGAAGCCATGGAGGTGTGGGTGCTGTTTACTGGCTTGTTCCTCATGGCTTGCTCAACCTTCTTTCTTACAGAACCCAGGACCACAGCCCAGGAGTAGACACATCCACAAGGAGCAGGGCACTCTCCCATCAATCATTCATTAAGAAAATGCTCTATAGGCTTGCCTACAGCTTGATCTTATGGAGGCATTTTCCTCAATCGAGGTTCCCTCTTCTCAGCTGACATAAAACTAGCTTGCACAGCATCACATGTTTTGGTTAAACCACATACCCTCCTGCACTTTTTTTTTAACTTAACAATAGATCAAGGACAACAGAATTTGGACAAGCAAAGGAAGACTTAAGCAGAAACAACACAAGATCCTAGAGAAAGGAAAGTTATGTTGCTTCATTCTTTTGTTAATTACATTATTTATAAAATACAAATACATAAAGTGAAAAGCTTCAAATCACTTTGAGCAACAACCAAAAAAGAAAAAGAAGTATTACACTAGTGTTCATAGGCAGGTGGTAGCTTTGGAACTGTGATCATCATCACTATCCCACCAAACTATTTTCAATCCCAGGATAGTAAGAGTTTAGGTATAGCAGCAAAACATAATTGTGATTACTGCCATTGCTAAAGAATTTACAATTTAACACAAACATTTATTAGTTATTGTATATGAGGCTCTATGTTAAGTACTAGGCATACAAAGGTGGTTAAGGATAAGCTTCCAAATGAGTAATGCAAAGGAGGCAAAAAAAACAACAACAAAAACAATCATTGTAACAAAATAACATACACACTGCACAGTGGTAAACAAAGCATATTGCTAAGTATGGAGGTAAGAGGAGCTAACTTTGGTCATCCTAGATTCCACAAGGAAATCAGACCCAAGTCAGGCCTTGAGAATAAAGCAAGGTATCACCCAAATATTGGCAGAGCCTTCCAGGCAAATGTGGCATTTGCAATGAGTTGATAAGGTCAAGGAATGTACAAAGTTCTGTGAAACTGTGAAGAAAGGCTTCTGCAGACCATTGAGACTAGTCTAGAGTAGGAGCCATTTACAAATGTCTATTAGGCTTCAAACAGGCAAGGACTGGCGCTGCTATTTTAGAAAAGTAGTAGTTTTCGTATTTTTTATCTTTATAACCACTTCCATTCTGATGGTACAGTAAGACACTGTGTCCCAGCTATACTGTTTATAAATAGTAAAATGTGGGCTTAAATTACTGTACCTCCAATTTCCTTACTCTTACCTCTTCATTACAACAGTGTAATTAATCCTCATTTTACTGCCTTCACATATGATGCATTCTGTCTCTGTAAAGTAGGTGCTAAAGGTCAATGAGATGCTATTTTCCAGCTGCCACATTGGTTTAATACAACTATGGCTTGAATCTGAATGTCCCTAGAGGCTTCTGTTTTATACAGTTGGTCCCAGCAGAAATCATTCTTTTGGAAGGCTATAAAACCTGTAGGAGGGTGGGGCCTACCTGGTGGACATAGTGCATTTCAGGGTTAAACTCAGCTGCTGGCTTTGGCATGGTCTCTGATTTTGGATCCACTGCAATGTAAGCAGCAGGGCCACAAACACCTGCGATGAATTTACAAACTGAGCCACTCTGCTATGCCTTTTCCCAAGTTGAAGTCAAAGTCCCTGAAATGTCAATCTTTTCACCCTTATGTTATTTCTGAAGGTATTCTGTCAGTGACAGTCTAATACAGAGACAAAGAGCAGATTCTACTGCTAATACTGGGAAAGAGGTTCTCTCATGCATTGTTAAGGGGAACAAAAAGTATGGTACTACTTCTATTGAGTTTAAAAGTATCAATGAAAACATTTTCAGTAATTTGAACACTTGAATTTCATTTGAAAATATATTAGTAAAAGTATGAAAACACATGTGTGGCACTTTTTATAAGAGCAAAAGACAGGAAAAATCCCAAATGTTCATTAGTAAGTACTGAGTGAAGAAATGCTAACTATCTAACCCAATATAGCTCTAAAAACCTAGGACACAATATCCGTTACAGCAGGATAGCTATTATAAAATTTTTAAAGAGGAGAAGGGAAGTTGGCAAGTGCTGATAAGCAAGGAGAGAAATTAGGAATCCTTGTGTGTTACCTTAAATCTGAAAACAAGTGTGGCCACTACAGAAAGCAGTACAGCAGTTCCTCAAAACATTAAATGGTTTGTTGCAACATTTTTCTAGCAGCCGTCTCTCAGCTCAGTAATTCTATGTTTAAAAAATAATTTTTTCAAGTGCTGGGGATCAAGCCAGGGTCTTAAGCTGCTAGAAAATTATTTTTAAACACAGAGTTACTGAGCTGAGAGATGGCTATGAGTATGAATTTCACACTTTCAAACTGTGTCTGATGACTCTGTCAGTGGCATCTCTGTTCTGCTATGACAACCATGCAGCAAACAACTTCCTCAGGGTTCAGTCAAATCTCTGAAGCTTTCTCCTCAAAACTACTTCCCACTTATGGATTCTTCCAGGCTGTCAGAAATTCTAAGAGGCAACCCCACTGACAAACTATATGCATTACATGGACATATTAGAAAAGGCAGAGAATGCCTACCATGTCATCATTCTGAATGTTCCATGAACATGTGAGGAATGATGAAAGTTCACCTGGGGCCAAGTCCATCACTTTCCTAGTGATTCTCTCTAGACAATTTAGAAACAGAATCTGAAACAGAATTAAATCTGTAGACCAAGCATTGTGCACCTATTTACAAATCTCCCATTTAATCCTAACAAGCACATCTAGTTTTTTTTCATTATTGTTGCCTTAAATAAGAAAACAAGATGTAGGAGGGAATGTTAGGCAATCTGTCCAAAGTCTTACACCTACTGCATGACAGAACCTAAGTACAAGCAACTTTATGGCGTCTTTCTTGCTTCCAAAGAAGTTGTGACTTTACAGTGATACTAGATATGAGGGTATTTTTAATTCAGTCTTTAGTACATAGCAAAACTACTACAACTATTATGCTAGGAGTCAACCTACTTCTGGCAGACAATACCTCCTTTCATATATCCTAGTGTGATGGTCTAAGAAAAATCTTCCTCTTTATTAGTCAAACCTTGCATAGTCATAGAAAGAGGAGAAAATGTTTTGTTCAATCTCTATAACATCATCAAATATTCAGAAAATTGTAACATACCTGACACACTTCTCACCATGATAATGGATTAAACCTCTGAAACTGTAAGCTAGCCCCAATTAGATGTTTCCCTTTATAAGAGTTGCCATGGTCTCCCCAACCAAAAAAAAAGCCGGTGGTGGTGGCACACACCTTTAATCCCAGCATTCCGGAGGCAGAGGCAGGTGGATCTCTGTGAGTTCGAGGCCGGGCTGGACCGACAGCCTCCAAAACAATATAGAGAAACCTTGTCTCGTAAAACAAAAAACAAAAAAACAAAACAAAAAAGATTGATGTAATCTCTGAGGAAGTATGATCACATATGTTAACAGTATAACAAATTTCTTTGTAAAACATGTCTCAAGGGGCTGGAGAGATGGCTCAGTGGTTAAGAGCACTGACTGGTTTTCCAGAGGACCTGGGTTCAATTCCCAGCACCCACATAGCAGCTCACAACTGTCTGTAACTCCAGATCTAGGGGACCCAACACCTGTGGCAAAACACCAATGTATATAAAATAAAAATAAATATTAAAAAATGTCTCAAAATAAATTCAGAGCAGAATTTCTCCAAACACAAATTCTTCAATCTATTATAGCATGAGCCAAATTATGTAAAATTTCCAAACGTATAAGATATAGTAAAAAGCAGCAATATTTTCTTATCATTTGTATCAGACACATTAGGTGAGTCATCAAGGCACTGTAGGTTACTTTCTGGAATGTCAAATGGTAGCTCAGGTCTTACCTCCATTGCTAAAGCTGCTGTCTGTTGGTCATAATGGTTCAGAAGATTAGGCATGAAGGTAGTATTATAAGGCAAATCTTGGCACATCCTCAAGGTAATAGGTTCACAAGAAAATAAACTGTGCCCACCTATACGCCTCACAAACACAGTCAAGAGCCAAAGATAAAAGACAGTCCAACTCATAGCCATTCTCCCTGGATCTGAATGAGACTTGATGATCAGATCTACCAGTATATGCCTGCAGGTCTCAGCTTGAAAGCACCCTTCTGTATCTGTTAGGTTCTTCAAACAGTTAGAAACTCCTTGTACTGTCAGAGGTTTGTTAACCTGGTCTCACAAAAGGCATTTGTTTTTGGTTTCACAATATTGGAAAATGACATCATCTTGTATCTTCTTTTCATTTTATTACACAGGGCACATCTGGCCAGCATATCAAGTTGATCAACCACATTCCCAAATCACAGATTCCATCTTAGGAGGAGAGTTATTTCTTCCTTGTTGAAATATCTGAAAAGTATTGAAAATGGAAAAGTTAATCATTTCTCAAAATATTGCAGACTTGACATTAAAATATTTGATGAGATAATACAGGGGTATTCAGAAAGTAATAGTTTTTCTATTTTATCATATGATATATTCATACACACTAAAAATAGTTCTTAAATAATATTTAAAGGCTAATTTTATACCCTAAGTTGCATATCTAACACATGGTGGAGAATTCCATCACAAGATATAAACGATCCACTTTGAATAATTTTCCCTTTGCTCCAAACTGTGTTCAGATGATATTTGTTGTAAACTAGATTATGGAATTACAAATTTATTATATGTGTTTTGTTAGCAGTACACTTTTATATTAACTGACTTGGTAGAGAGTAACTGTGAAAGGCCTGGGAAGATATTAAACCTCTTATTAAGTCAACATTGCAAACACTGTCATTTGATGATGGGGGGAATGTCCTTTTGTATGCTGTGAATATATGTTCCTTATTAGTTGATTAATAAATGCTGATTGGCCAGTGGCTAGGCAGGAAGTATAGGCGGGGCTACCAGACTAGGAGAATGCTGGGAAGAAGGAAGAAGAAGGAAGAAGGAAGAAGGAAGAAGAAGAAGAAGAAGAAGAAGAAGAAGAAGAAGAAGAAGAAGAAGAAGAAGAAGAAGAAGAACAAGAAGAAGAACAAGAAGAACAAGAAGAAGAAGAAAAGAGTTGACAAGGAGACACCATGTAGCTACCAGGAAGATAGGACACCTGGGCATTCTCCGGTATGCCAAGACTATGTGGAGATACTTAGATAAATAGAAATGGGTTAATAATTAAGAGAGAGATAGCCAATATGAAACATGAGCCCATTGGCCAAAGAGTTTATAATTAAAATAAGCTTCAGAGTGTTTATTTGGGACTAAATGGCTGCGGGACCAGGCAGAACAGAAACTCTGTCTTCAAATGGTGCCCCCAATATGAGGCAAGAACCTGACGAAAGCTTAAAAAGGGTTCTGAATGCACAGAAACGGAACTGTACTGGTCTTCCTAGTCTCACAGTCGCATGCAGGCCATAATGCAAAGAGGCTGTGGCATTCAGGTTTGAACAAAGCATGGCGGATTCTGCTGTGGTACACAGAGGCTGCGTCTCCAAGCTGCAGAGCATGCTGCATGGCAGATTTAGCTTTTACTCATATAGACAAAAACGGTTTATGGGCAGTGTGCTATAAGCTGCTTGATGGCAGCATAGAACAGAGTTGAGGTGGTAAGCGCAGCTCTGGGAGAAGAGAAGCACAACAGAAACTCCGTCTTCAACTTAACCCACACTTTCCTCCTCAAAATGATTTGAACATCACTTCTCAAACATGGAAATCTATGAGTAAATTATGAGGTAATCTATGCAAAAAAGTAGCATCAAGCATTAGGTGCTTTGGGCACTGAATTGCAGTTGACAAGACTCTATCAACCATACTGAACTAAAAATAGATGGTTCTAAAAGTATCCCCAGCCAGTTTTGCCAATGTTACATCATTTTAGATAGCATAAAAATTTAAGGTCACATATATTGCGCTGGAATCTCAAGTAAGTGAACAACAAAAAGGTCACCATACAGCCTGGTGTATAGACAGGTTGAGTAGGGCTGGTGATGATTCCAAATTACCACTTCCACTGAACTACATAAATCCTCTGAAGACAGACACATTGCCTAAGGACTACTTCCTAAGGAGTACCCATAGTTACAAGTGTCCTGTAAGTCAGGTCTTGAGAAATGCTATGCTAAAACGGAAGAATTAAAAGAAAAAGCATGTTTATATATAATAATCTACATGAAATTATTAGGTAGATATAAAGAAGAAGAAGAAGAAATGGAAAGTGACTCAGTTTTGGTTCCCAACACCCGCATGGTAGTTCACAACTATCCATAACCCTAGTCCCACGGGATCCAATGTCCTCTTGTGAAAGTACCAGGCATACACATGGCACACAGACATACACGCAGGTGATCACTCATACACAAAAGCAATATTTTAAAAAAAGAGTAATAGAAAACATTCCAAAGAACAAAAGAAATACAAAAGGCCAATAAACACATGGCGTGATGTTTAGTTTCACTTAAAAATGCAAATAAAAAAGACAAACATAACACTTTTGCCAATCAGATGTACAAAAATAACAATGTATGGCATGGATTATAGGGAAATATTATTTTCAACATCTTGAAATACTTTGGATAAGGATGTAAATAGTTGATACTTTTTTTTTAAATGGCTACTTATGGGGCTGGAGAGATGGCTCAGTGGCTAAAAGCACATGCTGTTCTTCCAGAGGACTTCGTTCAATACCCAGCACCTGTAGGTGACTCACAACGATTTGTAACTTCAGTTCCAGGGGATTTAACATCCTCTTCTGGTTTCTGAAGGGGCTACAGGTACATGGTACACATACATATAGGCAAAACACCCATACACATAAAATAAAAATAAGTAAGTCATTTTAATGGCTATTTATACCAAAAGCCCTCAGTTGCATACATAATTTGATTCAGCAAACCTATTCATAATTTATTCCAGAAGCATACCAGTGCATATGGTATACAACTGAAATATTAGCATAGGTTAATTTATAACAATTTTAAAAACTGAAAGTAACCTAAAACATTACCAGTAGGTGTTTTGATAAATAATGCAGCGTAAACATATGATGGATTAGTACCCAGACACTAAAAATGATGAGCATGACTTAGAGCACACCACATTGGTCATGTATACAGCATGCACAACATCCTGTGTTCAATCTCCAACACTGCCCCTCCCCCCCAAAAGATGAGCCTGAATTGCATTTACTGACATAAGAACATAACAATGATAAGCTAAACAATTACAACTGGGAAAATGGTTCAGTATGTAAAGTGCTTGTGTTGTAAGCATGAAGATCTGAGTTTAAATTTCCAGAACCCACATAAAGCCACATCCGATAGCAGCATTCCTACAGGAAAGATAGGAGGCATATACAGGAGAACCCTACCTGGAAAGGCTGAGAGGCAGCTAGCCTGGCATATACAGCAGTAAGCAAATGACTGTTTTAAACAATGGAAGGGAAACATTGGCATCAAAAGCTGTCCTGACTGCCACACATGAGTACTTTTACATTTACACACACATATACACACAATGTAACCCTAGCTAGCCTTGAACTCACAGAAATCCACCCATGGCCTGGAATTAAAGGCTTATAGCACCACATACAACTTAATACAAAGATTTTTAAAAATCAGTATGCATACATAACTCACTTCTATCAGAAAAGCATACATGCAAAACAACAACAAAAAACTCCACAGTTATTTCAGCTAGATGTGGTGGTACACACCTATAATCCTAGAACTCAGCAAAAGGATTTTAAATGGAGAATAGTCTGGGTTACATGGTTAAGAGCATCTTAGAGGGGGAGGGGCATATTTAAAAATAATAAAAGTGCTCTATGAATTTCATGAAAGACCTGATTTTGCATTATTTTGTACATAAGTAACTCCTCAAATCTATTAATGTGTGCTGACTGGCAGACAAGAACAAATGCTACTTGAACAGTGTATTGGCTGGTAATTAAAGCAACAAGCCAAGGGATCTACTACTTGTATTATTGCGGGTAGTAGGAAAAGCAAAGAAGTGATAATTTAGTATGATTCAAATAGATTTTTCAGGTTGGCCAGATAGCTCATCAGGTAAAAGCACTTGCCACTAGGCCCGGTTGACAGGAATTCAATCCCCAGAATCTATATGACAGAGAGAACTAACTCCCAAGTTATCCTCTGATCTCCCCATGCATGTTGTAGCATGAGCGGGCATACACACACACACACACACACCCCTAAACAAAACTTGAGTTTTTAACACTAAAATAACTGAGGTTACCTGTCAGCTCAATCAAAATGTTGTGTGTACTTTGCAGCACCTTGCATACACTTGTACACACTCCACACCACTCTCGGAGGATCAATCACCTACACCTGTGTACATGCACGCAAGCATGCATGTGGTGGCTAGAGATCAATCTCCAGTATCTTGCTCAGAAGTGTCCACATGTTTTTGTGAGACAAGCAGGTCTCTCACCAAGGGCTCTCTGATTCAGTTAAGCTGTCTAGAGAGCCAGTCTGTCTCTGGGGCTGGGATTACACAGATGCACCAGGCATCAGGCCTCAAACGTGTATGGTAAGCACTTTACCAACTGAGCCACCTCCATAGCTTCTGAAATAGGTGTTTCTAATCAGAATCACGAGAATGTGCCACTTTTCTCAAGGTAGGCTAGTCTATGGAAAAGCTCTAAGCTTTACAAAACATAGCAACCCATTAAATAAAGGTTTACAGTTGTTTGAAGCATTGTTTTTATTATTATCCTTTTTTTTGGCATGGATCTGTAGGATTACAACAGAATAAGGAGTCTATTGAGCTAACTAACAGAAGGAGTAAGCAGTTTTGGGCACCAGGGTCCAAGCAAAAATGAATGCTATGACAGTTCATGTACTATCTGTGAGGAAAGAGGCACTTTCACCTCTCCACAGAGCAATATAAAATATTTGGAAAATTCTAAGTGCTTGGTACCATTTTAGATGGGGGCTAAGGGACTCATCTTGGAAAAGTGCTTTCCTAGCATTTGTGAATCCCTGGTTTGAGTTCCTGTACTAAGCGGGACATAGGAAATACTTGAAATTTATACATGTCCAGTTTTATGAATGTATATCATTGGGTATCTAGTATTGTCCAATTATTGTTAGTTTTATGATTAAAAAGTAAAAGTCCTTAATATAAATTTAGCTGAGCACATGACCTGAAGGACAAGAAGAAAAAGACAAATCAAATGTTGGCAGACTGTCTTCCCAAGTTGCCTACTGAGCCTGGCCCAAAGAACTTAGGTAGAAAGCTAGCTGATCCCAGGAGCTACCATGAGAAAGTGCACCACAGGCCTTCTCAAGAAAGTATGGCAACAAAAGATTGTCTAGAAATGTCTTCCCATCACTTTGTCCACAGACAGGGTCCCTCTCATCATTCTTAGTTTACGCTTAATTTTCTTAACAGGAGGTTCAGAAATATCACCTGTAAGCTGTAAATCCTGAATACACTGGCTACAAAGTGGAAAGGTAGGACACTCATTTTTCAGACATGTTTTTCAAGAACACATCCCAAAGATTAGCAATGGGTTCCTCTAAGTCAGTCTCTCTGAAAGAAAGCATTGACTTTCTAGAAAAATATTCCTATGACATATTCTCTTTTCCCTAAGGACCACTCAGTATTTGTCCTTTCATTTTCCATTTCTTATTGGGGGTGGGGTGTGTGTGTGTGTGTGTGTGTGTGTGTGTGTTCATATGTGTGTCTGCATGTGTCAGATATCTTCCTCAACTGCTTTCTACCTTTTTCTTTTCTTTTCTTTCTTTTTTTTTCTTTTTTTTTGGAAACAGTCTCTCACTGAACGCGGAGTTCACAAATTAATTGGCTAGATTAGCTGATCTGCAAGCCAGGGCTTTGTGTTTCCACTCAGGTCAATAATGGGTTACAAGCACCATTGCCACACAGGGCTTTTTAACTGGGTGTGGAGAATCCAAACTCAGGCTCTCATGCACATACAGTAAACATGTTAGCAACAAAGCCACCTCCTCGGCCCTCCATATCTTATAGTATTAAAAAAAATCATCCTCACCAAATTGCCTCTTAGCTATTGTAAAAAAGTTAACATATCATATTTAATTCATAGAACCTACATTTATACTAATCCCAGAGTTATTATTTTCTGGCCTTTCTGACTATTATCAATCTAATTTAACCCTGGGGCAAAGGGGGATACTGCATCCCATGTAGCCAAGGTTATCATCCAACTCCTGACCTTCCTGTCTCTCATTCTCAAGTGCTAGGATTACAGGTGTGCACCACAGTGCCCACCACCTCTTTAATGTTTAAGTTTCTGTCATCTACTAGATACGACAAGTAACCCAATCTATTAATGTGCTGAGTGGTATTGAAGAAATAAACCAAAAGGTACTTCTAGAAGCAGAATTAGAAGCAATAGTAGGCATCAAATTTCAATCATATTTGCAAATTACTAAATTCTGGAACTAAGAGATGCAATCTTTCAAAACTAACCTGTAAACAAAACTGAAAGTTCAAAGACAGATCTGCTTGTTTTCTCTCTCTCCCCACCCCAGTACTGAACTCAGAGTCTTGAAGGTACCAGCCAAGTACTACCAGCTGAGTGGTAGTCCCAGGCCTGAAGATGGACAAATTCTAGCAAAAGGTAAATAAAATAAGTAAAGGTGAAATTCCAACCAGCGTCCCTTTCCAATTAAAGTCTGTTAATCAGAAAATGCTGAACTTCTGAGAGGAAACAGCAAGTCCCAGTGTTTTCCCCTTAACAAGATTGTATGTTTCATAGGCTTTCACTAAAGTATTATTCTGGAACTTAATGAGTGGGAGACTGGAATGTGTTAAGCTCACACCCTGTTATAGTCTTCAAAAGCTTCATTTACAGTGCATTCCCTGGATCCACCGAAGTCAGTGGTTCCCAGGATGATAAACTGGAAAGCAGAGAGAAAGTCCATTTCTGCACAGCAGCTAAGTCTGCCAGCCAATGAAGAGCTGTTACATCCAGCCTTCATCATCATTGGAAACTCTCATTTTCTTTCCTCAGAATCTTACTATAGCTGCCCCAACCTCTACTGAGTCAAAGAAGACAACGTGCTGAGAACTGGTGCCTACTGACTCCTAAGGAAAATAAACTCCACGGAAGCCTGGCATCACTATATTGGGGGGGTTGTTTTTGTTTTTGTTTTGTTTTTGCTTGTTTGTTTGAGGCAATATCTCTCTATGTAGTCCTGGCTGTCCTGGAATTTGCTATGTAAACCAGGCTAGGTTCCAACTCAAGAAATGCTCCTGCCTCTGCTTTCTAAGTGCTGGGGTTGTAGGTGTCCACCACCACACCTGCTCTCAAGCTTCAAAGTTTTACGAACAAAATCATAGCAGAGTTTTAGCAGCAAACTAATACAAAACCTAAGTTGGATGGATTCCCAAACCCCAGAGGAAAAGCAGGGGAACAGACAATCTTTTGTAAGCAACACCACCCCCCACTCTTCTTAGATGATAAAGGTTTCATGCTGTACTATACAAAGAATGTGCACTTCACTATTAAATCCCTCCCAACCATTTCCACTTCAAATACCTCAAGCATGAAACTCCCAAGAAAAATTAACCTGAATACCAAAAACAGAAAATAAAGTTCAAAGAAATGTGAGGGAAGAATAAAAGAGATGAGGAGGCCACAGTCCCTTTTCCTTTCATTAATGGAACCTTGTTAGCTTTCTAGAAGATGAGATGCACATTATTACTAGACGGGGGTAGGAAAGATGAAATAGAATATACATATTTGCCTAACAGTTTCAAAGCATTTGGGGGCAGGGAGCAACACTACACATTGTTTTACTAAGTACAGAGAAGCATGGTAAGAGCTGCGACTGGGTTATAGGGTATCTTCGGTTTTATCCTTCCAAATATTTACACTTCTTTCATTGGCTCCTTAACTGATTCTTTTTACCTTTTGCGTGGTTTCACACAGCTCACGCAGGGAGCAGGGGACATAGATTTGTTTAAAAGTCAAGATGGAAAGGAAAGCACTGTTGTCGAGAGGACCTCCCCACCTTTCTTTTTGAGAAAGGGGGTTCAGTGTAGCCTTATTCTGTCCTAGAGCTTGCGGTGATCCTCCTGCTTCAGTTCGCGACTGCTGGAATTACAGGCACGAGCCATCATGCACGACCCGCTCCTTAATACAGAACTCAGGATTTATCTGTCCTCTTCTAGCCCACTATGCCACCACCGAGGACCAAAGAAAGCTGAGGAGGGAGGCAGCATCCTTAAGCCCAGCTGGGTCTTTGTTTCCCTGCTCTCATACACTGGCTCTGCAAACTAACCCAATTCCCATCAACAAACACTGCAGATGTACCGAAAAGACTTTTCTGCGGAGAGATTTTTGAGCTGGTGCGTCTGTTCGGCAGCCTGAGAAATTCAGAAGGGAGCTAAGAATTCCCATTTTTCATTTACACTGGGCGAAAACCCGGGACCTCTCCTCGAGTCGTGGTATTTTTTTTCAACTTTAAGTCTCCTCTGCCTAATTAATGGCATGCGCTTTTGTTCTTTTTCTACCCACCGAAGGAAAGGGAAAGGATAAGAAAAAGGGAGGAGAAAAGAAAAATGAAAAAGCTCTCCTTTTCCCTTGAAGCCCCTATCTCCAAGAGTACCAAGATGTTAAGAAGCCTATGGGATGTTTACAGCCTTAACGTCACCCTCAGCTCGGCGTCTTTATTCCAAAGGCCACGAACTGTTCATCATGCAGCCGTGGCATCCCAGGGCTAAAGCGCCGACCCCGAGTCCCCACCACGGGGGCAGCTGAGGAGTGAGCGGAGCAGGGAGCCTCCGACTTTGCAAAGTGATGGGCAGCAGGGGACAACTTTCGGGCGGTGGGTGGCATGGGTCGGCCGGGGGCTGCTGGGAAGCGGCGGCGCCGGAGGCTGGCGCATCGTCCTCCCGCCCACGCCCCCGCGTCGCCGAGCACAGAAACCGGCTCGGGCCGGCCTCGCTCCCCGCAGGCGGCCGGCGCGGGGACCCGGCGCGTCCACACTCGCACAGGTTGCCCGGCGCGGGCGGGACGTACCGGCCCCGCCACCTTCCCGGGGTATCCCCGACCCGGCACGGCTGAGGCCCCGAACTACGCGCCGCCCACCCCGACCCCACTCGGGCCCGACCGCTCACCATCCGCCGCTCCGCGCCCGCCTCAGCAGCGCCGGCCTCGGGCTTTTGTTCCGCCGCGACGCGAGCGGCGAGCGCCGCCTGACGAGGGGCGGCCGGGCTGGGGCGAGCGCCTCAACGCTCTCCACACGCTCTGCTCCCCTCTCGCCCTCCCAGCTCCGGAGGAAGCGTCGGCCGCGGGACTTACCTCACCGGCGGCCTCCGGGCTCTCCCGGGCTGCACTGCTGGCCCCGCAGGCGGCCGCGCGTCCCTCAGGTCCCTAGAGCAGCCGAGGACCGCCGGCGCGCCGAGCCTTCGCGAGCGTCGGGGCGCGCGGCCCGGGGAGGAAGGTGCGCGCGCGCACGTGCCGCGCATGCGCGCTGCACCAAGTCTCCCAGCCGGCGCCTGGCAGTGCGGTGCTGACCCGCGCTTCGTTGTTCTCTGCTTGGCATCCTAGGTGACTGTGACGCCTTTGAGCTTCGGCGCGTCGGCTTAGTGGTTCCCAGCGCTGGAGGCGTTCATCTGAAATGTGCCGGCTTCTCCTTGCAAGGCCCTCCTGAGCCAAGCTCTCAGTGCGGGTCCTCCAACACCTGCTCCGACAGCTAGTGTGCCAATTTCGGGATCTCGGGGTCAGGGAGCGATCGCCCGCGGCGGAGGGTAGGACCGTGTACAAGTAGCAAGGGACACCCGGCCAGTTGCAACACTGCACACTGACCCGCGAAGCAGGTGCACTCTGTGCGTCCTCTCCGCCAAGTCCTTTCTATAAGCAGATGGAGCTTGTGTTTACTGGCGCCATGCCTCATCTTCTCTTTAGAAAAAGCTTCCCTCTCCCTTTCTACATGCACGACTCGAGAGCGGAAAGATTCTTCAGAGGTCATCTAAACACAGTGTTATTGTATTTTTCCCCAAGAGGGGAGAAGAACGCTCAGAAAGGTTGGGTGAAAGCGTTTTAATGAAAGAGTAGGGATTCAATCAACTGTTCTCTTTTCTACAGCATTTTACCTATCTTTCTTTTTGTCTGTCTCCAACTTGGAGTTTGTGGCATTATTGTTCTCTTGGTAGCTCACAGGACTGTTAGCATCCTGCTACAAGTTAGTGTACTTAACACTACTGACCTGTATGTTTATAAACGGTTAAGATGGTAACATATGGGCTAGAGATATGGTTCTGTTGACAAACCGCTTGTTGTACAAGCAGAAGAACCTGAGCTACATTCCCCAGAACCCACAAAAGTCCAGTCCTCAAAACAGATACTTGTAATCCCAGTGCTGGGGAAGCAGAGACAGGGAGATTCCTGGGTCTAGCTGATCACTCAGCCTAGCCTATTCCATGAATCCCCAGTCCAAGGGAGAGATCAGTCTCAAAAACCCCGTGGTTAGCCTCTGGCCTACACACACACACACACACACACACACACACACACACAGAGAGAGAGAGAGAGAGAGAGACAGACAGACAGACAGACAGACAGACAGAGACACAGAGACACAGAGACAAATAATGTAATGAATATTGAGAAGGCTTGTGCTTGGACATATAGTCTCACATCAAAAGGCAGCCCCGATGAACCAGCGTGATAAATGAAATCAGAAGCAACAGTTTCCTTTTTCCTTATTGTTACTTGTGCAGTAACATTTTAGGATAGTAACATTGATTCTTAGGGCCATTCCAGGCAAGTCAGGGTGTCCTGGGGGAGCTAATGGTGCCTCTTGATGAGAGTGAATAAAGAAGCAGGCGTTATATGGGGGAAACTTGGTGCTAGCTTCATGTATTGCCAGGTCCCCATAGCTAAAGCCCTGGAAATGTGCTCACCAGGAGCTTTCTTAGTCAATGGACGCAACATCCAGTAAAAACAGGCACAGGCCACACCACTGCTCGTGTCAGGAATCACAAATACATCAACACGATTAAGTCCCATAAATGCAATACTTAACAGAGAATGAAACTACAATATATGTAAGTGGAGGTGTATCTTTAAAAAGTGGCAAGAATAAGTTGCTTATAGGAGTTAACATATATCTAATGAAAATATCAAAAAGAAACAAGGCTGCACACTCATTCTGCAGCAAGGTGGCAAAGGGCATTCCAGATATAGGGAAGACAATGGGATCTGTGTGTAGAAAGAGCTTCTACATGTCTGGTACACACACACAGAGAGAGAGAGAGAGAGAGAGAGAGAGAGAGAGAGAGAGAGAGAGAGAGAGAGAGAGAGAGAGAGAGAGAACAGTAGCATCTTGAAACATCTTTGTGGAGATACAGGTATTGTGAAAGTTCCTAAGGTTTTCTTTATGTTTGACATGCTCAACATAGAGGTAATGTCAAAATATCACAGACACTGGGCTATGTGTGCATGTTCCCTAGAAACACAGTGGGCATGGGGTGACTCACAAGGAACACAGTGGGCATGGGGTGACTCATTCCCCTTTGGGGGAACAGCTGGATGGAGGAGCTGTGGGACAGGAGACCCAAAAGGTGCAGTTAAGGGCAGAGAAAGGGATCCTCTAGCAGGAATAAAAACATTCAAATCCCACAGGGATAACTCCAGATGCTTTCCCTGTCCTGTCTCCCTTTCCTTCCATGTTGTAACCACTAATAGAAAGCTTTTAACAATCGGGAACTTCACAGAGAGACTCAGCCACCTAGGCATTGTTAAAACTGGTCCTTTTCTGGATGAACCCGTTTTGAAACCATAAATGTTAACTGGTAATGCATGGTAATTTAGTATGACATCTCTACCTGCCTCCCCCAGGCCACCCCCTCACATCCCCAAAGGCTTTGTTTATTCATTTACATACAAGCTGGTCATTTGGGAAAAAAAAAACCACTAAGTTGGAATCCAGACAACCTAGGTTCTAATTTCAGCTTGACCACTTACTAAACCGTTGTTAACTTAGGCAAAGCTCTAACCTCCATGAGACCCACTGTCCTCTTTTCATTTAACTTGGAGATATGCAAATGTTGACTATTTAAAAGTTATGAAACGTAGGCTGCCATGATGGCTGAGAAGGTAAAGGCATTTGCTGCCAAGTTTGAGCCCTGAACCTACATGATGAACAAAATAGAGTCCTGAAAGTTGTTCTCTGAACATGGCACACACTTGCCCACACGAAGACATAGATACACATAAATAAATAAATAAATGTGAATTGAAAAGTACACTATTAAAATTAAAATGTTGAAACACGAAGAACTGCTCAAGTCTTAGGAAGGTCCATTATTTTAGCAAGAAAGACAAAAAGACAACGTGGAACTCACTATTTTTGTTTTTGGTTTAGGTTCTGGGTTCATTTTTGGTTAGCTGGTGCTCATCAAAATTGCTTTGCACCATGGCTGCGGGCATGGAATTTTGAACTTCCTGGAATCCTCCAGAACTCACTATCAGTTACTAGATCCCTGAGCTTTGCTGTCTTTATTTGCACTTTGTTGTGTGCCGTTTCTCTCCTTGGATTTCTCCTGTGTTTTAGACAGTGTTTTGGAGCCCAGGCTGGTCTCCAACTCCCTGTATAGCCCAAGTTGTCCTAGGACTCCAGATCCCTTTGCCTCCTCCTCATGGGTGCTAAGATAGCAGGCTTGAGCCACCACGCCCGGCTTCCTCCTTCTGCTCCTGCTCCTGCTTCTTCTCCTGCTTCTTCTCCTGCTCCTCCTCCTCCTCCTCCTCCTCCTCCTTCTTTTTAATCTTTGCATTCTCTAGTTCTCACTAAAGGTGGGCGTTCAGTGCATTTAACTAATTAAATGTGACTGGACTTTAAAACCCAATTCAGAGTTATTCTTACAACGGCATGCCATCTGCTGGTTCCCTGATGTATCTGTCACTCAGCTTGGGACATTTCCTCCACGACCTCCCTTTTCCTCTGCAGGTGCTTTTCCGCCCGCATCCAGCCCTTTGCAAATTCTTATTCCTTCCAACCCTCTTCCACCTTCTGGGCAGTCTTAAAACCTGTCACAATGGAGTTTGCATTTCGGAGCTCTCGAATGACCAGAGCAACATAACTGGGCATGCTCCGTAGGGAATGGCTGTTTTGGAACACAAACATAGCAAGCCTTGAAGGAAGATTTTTCAAGGCTGCTGGTTTCAGGATTGAATGCAGCGTCCTGCCAGCATTCTATCAAGATGTTACAGCTCCTCCCACTCACCCTACAGCCACACTTTCTCCTGTTTATCTCCATGCCCTATTTTGGAGTCAGCCCTCCTTGGATGCCCTGGCCAATCAAGAGACCACACATTGTTGCCTAAGAGACCCCGGATGCCAGCGACAGGATTTATAGATGGTGATTGGACTGCTAGAAGCGGTGAGGTGGGGCTGAGAGGAGTCAAAGAAAGCTGTCCTAGTGCAACGATGGCAACCCCAGAGCCTGAGGCTTGAAGAAGGAGGCCAGCTGCTGAGGTGAGAACAGTGGGCAGGGCAGGAAAAAGATGGAGGTTCTGAGAGAGCTCCCTAGCTTCCCACAAGCCTTGCCGGGGCTCCTGGGGATTGCAGTCTGCTGCAGTTTTAGTGGTTGCTTCACACTCCTGAAATTAACAACCAACAATTACATGCAGGTCAAACATTAGCTTTTAAAACCATGCATTACAGTGTTTACTTAGTTTTTAACTGGCTGGATGTAAGGTGAATTCGCATTTAAACCTACCCATCCTCTATTTCCTGATACTGTGTGAGAGCCCCTGTGTCTGGTGCTATCACAGTGTACTGAGGGTGAATTGTGTGTTAGCAGGGAAACTCAATCCTAGTCTTGGCTGTAACCTCCAAATAAAACCCTGACAGCCCTGAGCGTTTCTGCTGCGCCAGGTTCATTATGTTCTGAGTTTTAGCGTGCAATCCCACAGGTTTAATCCTCACACTGCCCCCTCCCCATTCTTCATTTCTACTAACAAATACTTATAGAACTTCTTTTATGTACCGACCGCTGAGATTGGAAAGAAGATGAGCAGTGTTCAAGAACGCACAAGCCCAAAAGGGTTTCATGCTACCATCCTTACAGCGGTCAGAAGGGTTTTGTGCCACAGTCCTTACAGTGGTCAAACCGTCAGTGGGTCTGGACAGAGTACAGGAAAAGACAGAATGAGGTTGAAACAGTTACAGTGAGTTGACCCAGACTTCATGTTAAGAGTTGAGATCCCACAGCCATTAGTAGGATTCAAAGGTTTTTGAGTTGAAAAGTGACTTCACTGACTGGTCCTTAAAAACAAACATTAAAAAATAAAAAGAGTTAGGTGTGGTGACATAGACCTTTAATCCCAGCACAGGGGAGGGAGAAGCAGGCAGATATTTGTATATTTGAGGTCAGCCTGGTCTACATAGCAAGTTCCAAGTCAACCAGGGATAGGAACTGAGACTCTGCCTGAAAACAAGATTAAAAAACAAAACAAAGCAAATCTCAGACCGGGACTATAGTTCCATTGGCAGAGTGCTTGTCTAGCACACATGAAGCCTGAGTCCATCTCCACATAAATCATGTGTGTGGTGCACACTGTCATGCAGAACTTGGGAGGTGGAGGCAAGAGACCGGAAGCTTCAGGGCATCCTTGGCTCCACAAGCAGGTTTGAGGCCTACCTGGAATGGGTCCTTAGTAAAGTTATTGCATAATGGAGACAGTGTGAACCATGGCTCAGAAGATTCAGAAGGCCAGACCAGACCTTAGAGCATGACCACTGGGACTCCTGCGTGGCTGTTGAACATGAGCCTGGAGTCATATGTAGGGGACAGGGACTCTGGGCCTTCTTTCTACAGTTCTATCCCAAGGAACATGAAGTGTAACAACAGTCAGTCATTAAAAGGAAAAGAAATCATATGAAAGTACCAGCAATTTTTATTTCTGGAAGAGGGTGAGACAGTCTGCTTTGTCTTGGTAGACAAGGTCAAAAACAATTTTTTTTTGTTTTTTTGAGAAAGGGTTTCTCTGTGTAGCTTTGGAGCCTGTCCTGGCACTCGCTCTGTAGACCAGGCTGGCCTTGAACTCACTGAGATCCACCTGCCTCTGCCTCATGAGTGCTGGGATTAAAGGGGTGCACCACCATCACCGGGCCATAGGGTCAAATATTTCTTGTGTGTGCTGTGTGAAAACTTCTGTCTTTTGAGTAGTAAGTAGCCAGTGGTCTATTCTGTGAACTCGTGTATGCACACTAACTATGTGCACTGCTCATCTTCTGGGATGGAGGTGGGGAGGGGGAAATTGAAAGAGGATAATCACAAAAGAGGAGGAAAGACACCTCCACTAGCAAGCTTCTGCACGACTGTCATCAAGATCTGTGCCTCCTGGCCAAGCCCACCTCCTGGAAACTACACATGCTCTGAAGAAAGCCTAATCAGAAGAGATTTTCAGACTCGAGGGACCAACGGGAAGAAAACAGCCTGTGCAGACATGTAGGGTATCTTTGAGCAAAGCTACTTTATCTTCATTCAGAAATGGTACCTAGAATACAACAAATGGCTTTCCACACACACTGGAAAGCAAGGGAGCTTCTCAGCTTAACACAGATTTTTTTTAACCTGGGGGAAGCAGAATTTTAGCTTCCTGTGTATTTTTTTTCTACCAAGAAGATTCATAGCTTTTATCCCAGAGGCTTCAGAACTCTCGAAGATTTTAAAATAGCTGCTATCTTAAAAGCAGAGGGAGAGGGCCACGGGGCATAATGACAAATGCCAGCAATCTCAGAACTGGGAAGATGGAGGAGAGGAGGTTTTGAAAACAATATACAATTGTTGCCTGGGTAGATCTGAACTTGGTGACGGTGCTTTATATCTGTAGTTTGCCTGCTCACCTGTGCCTGTGTCCCTGGCTGCTGGTTAATAATGCTCAATGAAACCATTTCCTGTGCCTTTTGAAACCTAGCTAAAACTGTAGTGACTTAGATAATTAAACATTAGATGCTGAGAAGAGCCCAAAGGCTGATCCAAGCCCAGGCTATGGTGGTGTGATGTAACCAAGGGAAGGTGTTGACTGATGAACCTTGCAGGGTATAAGACACTGGCTTCATCTTCAGCTGTAACTTAAACCTGAGTGAATATTACGTGTCAAGTGAGGACCTCAGAGATTTCAGATGTGGTGAATGGGGAAATCCTATCTCAGCTGAAAAGTAACGCATTAAAAAGTTTTTATACATGTTTTTAAGGCAAAGCATCCATTAGCCCAGGCTGGCCTTTCTACGACAATGACTTTGAACTTCTGACCTCCCACCTCTATCTCCTGAGCACGGGTGTTGCAGGCATGTGACACCATACCTGGTATGTGTTAGTGGGGTTAAGCACAGGACATCATGCATGCTATGAAAACACTCTTCTATCAGAGTTACATCTCTAGACCAATTGGGGTCTCTCTCTCTCTCTCTTCCCCCCCTCTCTCTCTCCCTCTCTCTTTCTCTCTCTCTCTCTCTCTCTCTCTCTCTGAGACATGGATTCTCTCTAGTTTTGGCTGTCTTGCAACTAACTCTGTAGACCAGACTGGCCTCGAACTCACAGAGATCCACCTGGGATCAAAGGCATGCACCAACACCACCCAGCCTCCAATTGGCTTTAATTTGTTCAGTGTTTAATGCTGTAGGGTCATGTGTGGAGCCCCAGATCAGGTATGTGTAGAGTCACCTCTGCCACAGTTGACCTGTGTGGGCAAACCCATCTTCAGAGAGAAAGGAGTGTAGAAACACTGAGGGCAGGTACTGAAACTACTGTCCATTATAAAATATTCCATCATGGCCCACCAAAGGACAGGTTTTGGACTCTCTGTAAGTGACAAGTTCTCAGAAAGACTGAAGGAGGTTACTAGTTACTGAGGCCACCTGCCCCATCAGCCACCATGTCAAGACCTTTTTATCTCTTCCAAGTACCATTTTGGAGATCCACATACATAGGATTTTTAAAAACTGCACACAGTGGGGCTGGAGAGATGGCTCAGAAGTCAGGCGTTTGGTGCTCTTGTAGAGATTCGCAGCACCCACATGATTGTTCACAACCATCCATGACTCCAGTTCCAGAGGATCCAATGCCCTCTTCTCAGCTACTCATGCACCAAACATACACACGTGCGGGCAAAAGACACAAGTGAAATAAATAAATCTAAGAAAAAAAGTTTAAATCGCAGAGTCATTATTTTTTTTAAAAAAACTGCACAAGGTTAATAAAAAAATGTTACAAAAGCAGAAACAGATTCTAGCTCACAAATGTAGAAGAGGAAAAAGTCAGGTAGCTTCTGGGGGACAGAAGGACAGGGACAGCATTGCAATCTGCTCAGGTCACTAATGTTACCCTCAACTACCACCTCATGCAAAAAGGATAAGTGCATCTGTGACTTGATCCACTCACCATCTGCCATCTGCTGTCAAGGAAGGGACTGCTGGTGGTCCCCAAATGAAGAAAAAACCCAGCACCTCTAAAATCAGCCAACCAGCCAGCAAACACCACACTAGTGAGGAAAAATAATTCCTCAAGGAAATTAAAGTACCTTAGTTAAAAGTAGGCAAACTGTATACCAGATAACTAAAAACAGCAGATTTACCTAATAAACCCATCTGTCCATCTCCAAAGGCATGGCCTTGCCCAATACATCAACCCTGAGTGTGTATTAGGCTAAAAGCTAAAACTCTTCTACCTCAAGGCTAAGACTAGAGAAGTAGAGTTAATTACACAAGGACAAAAATTAGGTGTTTGTTTTGAGACAGAATCTCATAGGGTAGCCATAGCTGGCCTGGAGCTATCTATGAAGAACAATGTGACCTTAAATTCAAAGAAATTCACCTACTTCTGCCTCCCAAATCGGATAAAGGGTATTTTTGTTTGTTTGTTTGTGTGTGTGTGTGCTTGTTTTCCAGACAGGCTTTCTCTGTGTCGACCTGGCTGTCCTGGAACTAGCTCTGTAGACCAAACTGGCCTCGAATTCACAGAAATCCTCCTACCTCTGCATCCCATGTGCTGGGATTAAAGGTGTGCACCACCTCCACCTGGCAAAGGGTGCTTTATGTTGTATTGTGACTCTAAATTTGAAGCATTTCTCTTTCTGGGCAGTAAACTTTGTTCTGAGCTAAGAATGACTGAACTCCCCCATGATCCAGTGGTGTGATTCCTAGTCCACTCACTATATGATCTTGGGCAGGGTGGGCAACTTCAGTGAGCCTCTTGTTTTTCAATGGCCTAAGTAGTTAAAACCCACAATTTCATCACCAGCTCATTATAAACTTGTACTGAACATACATATAAAGTCTTTCACATAAGCAAGGCTCTCAGTAAATATTCTACCCGCCTATACCCTCTTTCAACATACAAAATGTATATGTATGTATATATATATAGTTTTCAGAAGATTTGATTATTTGTTTCTTTTGATAGGTATAGTCTTTCTGATAGAAGAATACCAGGGCATTTCATGATGGCATTTGCACCTCCAAAAACCACTGATGGCTCCAAAATGCAGACAAAGATGAGCACCTGGACACCCTTAAACCATCGGCTTCTGAATGACCAGGTGAGTTGGTCAGAGATATTTTATTATTTGGGTCCATGGGCAGGGAGGTAAAATTCTGATAATCAGAATATGAGCAGGAATTCTTCAAGATGGTACAATCTATAAACAAAAGACAAGACACAAGGTTTTTAAAAAAAACAATTTTGTGTCTTTGCTATGTGGGCAAGACAAAATATAGATCAGAGTTCTGCCCTAGGGAAAAGTCATTCTTTCCTGCAATATCTGTCCCCAGTGTGTCTTCTTTCTCCCGTCACTGGTTCTCCTTGGAGTCAACAGAATTTGGGGAGGGGAGGAAAGATATCTAGGAGGGGTTCCCCTCAAAAACCAATCCCTGAGTTTCTGGAAAAAGTTGGGGTCACTTAGTGAATGTATCAGCCAAGTGCATATGGCACTGGCATTCTCCTAAGAAGTCTATTTGCCAGTTTAATACTGGGAAGACGCAAGTAAAATACACCGGATGAAGGATTGCAAGCAAGCGGCTGGGCACTGAAAATGAAGACCTATGGGATATTGTATTCCTGCTTCTACGAGTTGAAGAACTCAGATCAGTCTCTGAACATCAGGACCACACCCACTTGGCAACAAAACACAATCCGTTCATTGTGTAAAACTGACCTTACTATCTTCCCTCTCCACACCAGTTCTTCCTCCAGGTGAGAACCCCCACTTTATACTATCACGGGGGCCATAAAATCTCACCTTTCCCTGGCAGGTGTTGGATTGGATTCTTCACCCAAGTTTACAGGCTAATAAGTAAACCTGTTACCAGAGAAACAAAAGACAGTACTATCTCACAGTGAAGAACACTGGGATCTGGGCAGGGACAAAGAACTTACGCTCACAGCAGAGCTGTCAGGGTGAGCATTATGTGTCGAGCCTAAACACTGACTCTCCTGGTTGACCTCGACCAGCCGAGTGATGCTCATCACATAGAGAAACGCCTAGCACAAGGTGGGTTCCCTGGCAGCTGAAGACCAAGGAGCAGAGGGAATCTAATACTTCTAGGAAACAGTGAACATAAACTCCTCCCTCTAGGCTGCCTTCCTGCAATGTAACATGGGAAACAGGTCCAAGTGAAGAGTGCTGAGGGCCTTCACTTCTCAGCATGCCCAGACTCCTGGGACAGGGAAGCTGTGGAGGAAGAGCTACCTACCCACCCTTGCCTCCAAGCTCCATTTGTTCTCTGGGTCTCTGAGTCTCCTCCCTAGATCTAGTCAACCCAGTTCCATGTTCTCTGGTCGCTTCCTCACCCACCACCCCTTCCCAGGCACAGTACGCTAACTGCCTGGCTGTTGTCACTGCCTCTAGCCAGCTTACATATCCTCTAGTAAGGCTCCAGAAAGATCTTTCTGAAATACCAATCCTATTAGGTGAGGCTGAAAATGGGATTTACTCCAGAGGGAAAATTCCAACGCCCCACGCATCCTTGAGGTTCCTTCAGGTCCTGACCCCCGAGACAACCTCCCGGCTTCTACCTCTGCTGCCGCTCCCTGGCACTTGTAGCCACAGCTCCTGTCCTCATCACCTGTAGCCTCAGTGTCCCCTCTGCAGCACCGCCACTGCGTCCTGCCTCCTCTCTGCTCTCACTGCTGTTTCTGACTTTACTGCTCAACTTCAGCCCATCTCCCCCACTCCCTCTGAATACACAGGTCTGGGCCAAGACACAAGTTCAGTCCTCTCACTGTTTTTCTTTGTGTGTGTGTGCGTGCGTGCGTATGTGTGTGTGCATGCATGCATGCACTTGTGTATCTGCAGCTACAATTGTGCATGTGCATGCATGTGTGTGTGAAGGCCAAAGGAGTTCAGCTGTTATTCCTCAGGTCTGATCTACCTAGTTTTTTGAGACAGGGTCTCTCATAGACTTAGATCTTACCGAGCAGGTAAGGCAGGCTGAGCCCCAGGGACCCACCTGTCTCTGACTCTCCAGCACTGGGTTTTAAACACACCACAACTCCTTGTGCTTTTTTAGTGTGAGCTCTGGGGATTTCATTGAGGTCCTTGTATTTGCAACTACCGTGTTTCACCAACTGAGCCCTTTCTTAGATATTCATTGACTTTTATCTTAGGGCCCTTCTAGCTCATTCCTTGGCCGGAGTTGGTCCATTATTTATGTAACAAAGTGTTGATCCCTCTTGGCAAAGCCTGTAGTCAAACCTGGCTCATCTTAGGACTAGGGACTTGCTTCTATTCTGATGTGAAACAGGAGTAAAGGGAGGAGGGGGTGTGTGTAAGAGATTGGATCCTGAGAAATAAAGTGGACAGAAGCTATGAAGGAAACTGATTTTTAAAAAAATGACCCAGGCAGGGAGAGAGACGGAAGAAAGGAGACCTCAGGAACAAAAGGACAGGTGCAGGCAGATGGAGCCTGGCCTCACAGTGCCAAATTAACGTATGGAAATCTTTTTCTTTCAACACAGCAATTATTCATTGAGCACCTGTTATGATGCTCAGAGCTCTCCAACAGTTTATATAACAGTTTATCCCTCCAACTTCAGTGTCAAATTTGGAAATCTGTTTTCTCATTGAATTGTGAGGGTTTTGCACATGTGTGAAAAAGTGACTTGAGTCGAAATACAAAGTTGTTGAATGTCTTGATTTTCAGAAAATTTCCTAGAAAAGTCTTGATCAATTTGGCCACTGTGAAGAAGGGAAAAAAAATATCTTAAGCTAGGCATGGTGGCATGTGCTTTCAATCCCAGACCTCAGAGGTAGAGTTCCAGACCAGCCAGTGCTGCGTAGTAAGACTCTAGCTCCATTATTTTCCTTTAAATCAGTGGCTGGGAAGGATGGCTCCACAGTGAGGAGCACGTATTACTCTTGCAAAAGACCACAGTTCAATTCTTAGCACCCACATGGGGTGGTTCACAACTTCTTTACCTCCATCTCCAGGGGGATCTGATACTTTCGGCTTCTTGGGGCACTAGAAGTCACGTGCACATACCCACGTACAAACATAGTTAGAATCAAAAATAAATCTTTTAAAAAGTACTTTCATAGTGCCCAAGTGCTTGCTGTAGGAGGGGTGATAAAGACAGATTCTTTGTTTGGCATTGCTGGGGATTGAACACAGGACCTTGCACTTGTGAGCTAATATACATCCCCAGCCTTAAGAAGCAGGTTTTGAGATGAGCATATTGGAATTAACCCTAAAGAAGGGGAGAGAAGGTGTGATGGCTGTTCTTGCTTGTCAACCTGACTACATCTGGAATTAACTAAATGCCAAGTGGCTGGGAACACCTCTGAGGGATTTTTTTTCTTAATTAAATCATTAAAGATGGGAAGATCCGTCCTTTAATCTGGGCTGTACCTTCTGGTGGCTGCCAGAATAACGTAAAGGACACAGAAGGAAGCTTGCTGTCTCTGCCTGCTTGCTCTCCCTGGCAAGTGCATCCCTTCATTAGCATGAGAACCTACTTCTTCAAGAGTCTGACACACACTGAAGACCGGCTGAGACATCCAGCCTTGTGGACTGAACAACTCCTGGATTCTTGGACCCTCTGTTGGTAGGCAGCCATTGTTGAACCAGCTGGACCATGGCCTGTATATACACATATATAGAACTACTGTATATACATATGTAAGTTCCTCTTGAGAACTCTGACTAATACAGAAGGGAAAGATGTAAGTTTGGGTTCAAAGATGAAGGTGAGCTACAATACAATCTCCATGGTGTCTCCACTGCCCCACACACACACACCAGCTGTCATGATCCCTCTGAGTTGTCTCACAACTCAGCAAGGAGGCCTGTCCTTTTATAGTTGACACTGCCCTTCGGTGACCAGCTGCTCTCTCCTCCAAGGTCATGACCTTGGCCCAAGGCAGCTTCTTTGAACTCCTGGCTGTCAATGGGTACTAAATAAATCCCTCAGCTCTAGAAAGGATCAATACAACATGGCAAACATGGCATGGTTTTATCCTTGTTCTTTAATGGCTTTTGTCACATCCAATGATAATTTTTAGAGAAAATACTCATCATTCATAATTCCCATGTTAAAAAATATAATTTAGTTAGCTTCTTGTCTCAAACTAATTTTTTAAAAACATATATGCCACTGTGAAGTCCTTTTCTAAAAATATTTTTTTTATTTTTAATGTATGTGTGTGTGTGAGAGAGAGAGAGAGAGAGATGTGGGGGGGAAGGAGAGGGAATGGGGCAGTGCACAGGTGCCCATGAAGCCCAGAAGTCCCTGGACCTGGAGTTAGACAGTTGTGCCTTGTCCTACTGGGGTGCTGGGAAAGGAACCCCGGTTTCCCTGTAAGAGCAGCACATGATCTTAGCCACTGTGCCACCTCTCCAGCATCCATCTCCCTTCTTTTGGGACAGGATATCATGTAGGCCCAACTGGTCTTTAACCCAATATGTAGCTACAAATAAAATCGTACTTTTTTTTCCCCGAGACAGGGTTTCTCTGTGTAGCGTTGTAGACCAGGCTGGCCTTGAACTCACAGAGATCCTTCCTCTGCCTCCTGAGTGCTGGGATTAAAGGCGTGCACCACCACCGCCTAGCCAACACTGTACTTCTAATCTTCCTGAATTTACCTCCCTCGCTCAAGGGTCATGGGCCTGTATCTCTAAGCCCCATTTATGAGGGACTGGAGGTTAGACCCAGGGCATCATGCATGCTAAGTAAGCAATCTACCAACTGAGCCACAACTCCAGCCCTCCATGTTGGTTTTGTAATTTTTGTCTTTTCTCTGTTCTGTAGTAGAATGTGAAATACATAATAACCAACTCAGCCTGAAATAAGAGACTTGGGCTTTTAACTTCACAGCAGGTTGTCAGCTGAGAGACTGAATTCAAATTTAGATAACTTAAAAAAAATAGAAGCATCATCAAGGTAGGCAAATACAGCAGATTACAGAGTAATTTGGGCGCTGAGGATTCCTAGGGGAGAGTGCTGTAATAGTACCTATGTTGCCAGCCAGTGTTGTAATTAGAAGGATCACGTTCCCCCACACGCAAAGCTAACCATGGGCAGGGGTGGGCAGGATAATTGCCTTGACTCTAGCGGTTATTTCTCTCTTGTATATGCATCCCAAAACGTCATGCTGCACACTTTAAATATATATAATTTAAAAGCACGAAAAGTGCACATCCCCGTTTCTTTGACGCATGAGTCACACATGCCCCACAGTGCCTGTGAAAAGGGTGTTCTGGGAGGCAGCACCTTGCTGCCATCCATCGATCATAATATAGGATTTCCAAAATAGCTCCCTCCTCCACTGCGATGATGTCACGTGAGGAAATATGCAATTGCAGTATCAACAGACTAAAATAACAACCAAGGGATTTTAACTTAACAGCAGGCTGTGTGTAAACTGCGATAGAAACAGACTGCAGCCGTCTGTGAGAGAAGAGCCATTTTAATATTGCCTTTTCAAAGAGATACTGTGTTTTCCAGCTTCTTAAAAATGAAGACCCTGATTGCACATCTTTCGAATGACAATTCGCTCTAGTTCAGGTAATGTAAGAGTGCAAATCCAATTGAGGACTGACACAAAATGATTTGCCCCAAATTATATATATTTGTTAAAGGCAGACTCAACCAGATCGGAGTCCTCTTGACTTTGAGTCAGGATGTGCCCAGCAAGAGAGACTGTGATATTTGTTTATTATTTCCTCTTTCCTTCTCTCTTCGGTGGTCAGTTTCTCTTCTGTGGAGATACTGTCAGTGAATGCCTGGGCTTGCTTGGAGTCTGAATAGATGTTGGTTTTCCCTTTTCTTTTCAGTGCTCAAACCCACGGCCTTACAGCTGCTTAGCAAACATACTGTTGCTGAAACATACTGTTGCTGAGCTGTGTCCCCAATCCTCCTTTTTACTTTTTAAGACGTGGTCTCACAAAATTACCTAAACTGACCTAAACTCATGCTGTAGCCTAGACAGGTCTTAAATTTGCGATCCTCCTGCCTCAATCTCTTGAGGAGCTGTGAGACGACAAGCCTGCACCACCGGGTCTGGCTTAGACATTGTATTTGCTTTAGCCTGACACATGACCAAAACCAATCCCTACCTCATTTCTTTCCTGATGCCTTTCTGTGAACTCTCTTCTCCAGTCAGTGTCCCTTTGTTACCATGAGCCACACCCTCGGGGAACACTGTGATGGCACAGCCCAACCTCGTTTTAAAGACTTACTGATGATGTCAAGACCCAGTCTTCATCCCATGCCAGGCAGAGCACTGGTAGAAGTGCTACAAGAATTTAGAGCTGCAGGACTGGTGGGATTCACCTATAATCCTAGCACTCAGGGTGCTGAGGCAGGAGAAACATCAGTTCCAGTCCATCTGGGCTATATAATAAGTTCCAGACAGCCAGGATTGAGACGACCACGATTATAATGGAAAAAAAAAAAACAAAGGCAAAGTTAAGCTGAGTAGGTAGTTCAATACCAGGGTTCTTCCCTCCATTCCTTCATATCTCTCTCTCTCTCTGATACAGGGTTTCATGTAAGCCAAACTAGCCTTAAACTTACTACGTAGTTGAGGATAAACTTGCATTGATCCTCCTGCTTCTGCTTTCCATGAGCTGGGCGTGTGGATGTGTGCCACCATGCTTGGCCTTTGTTCTTTCTGTTAGCCCAGTTATGCTCCAAACTTACTATCTCCCTGCTTCTGCCTCCTGAGTACAGACTACAGTCCTGTACCATCATGCCCAGCTTGATCCAGTGGTTTGTTTATATTTTTTAAAATATGAAAAAAGTAACTTTTATGGGAGTCTGCCTTCCCTATCTAAAATAAGGAAGTTGAAGAAGAAGCTCTTTAGGGTTTTTATGATTTATTTTAATATTTTTATTTATGTATGTGTATATGGGTGTGTGCACATGAGTGTAGTGCCTACAGAGTCCAGAAGAGGGTGTTGGATCTCCTGGAGTTGGGGGTTACAGGTTATTGGAAGCTGCCAAGTGCTCTCAGCCCCTGAGCCATCTCTCCAGCCCTTCTTTAGGATTTCTTTCAGCTCTGACCTCCTGTGCCTTCAGAAACCTTTTCATTATCATTGTTTGACCAGTAGTGTTGCTGAGAGTCTGCCATGAAACCTGTTCCTGCTGGTTCTGGGGAACATGTATGAGAAAGGGGTTCTCATCTATATGGGGAGGCAAGATGAACTTAAACCACTAGAGAAACAACCAGACACTCTCACTTGGCATAGTGGTTCACGCCTTTAATTCCAGAACACGGGAGACAGAGGCAAGAGGATCTCTGTGAGACTGAGGCCAGCTTAGTCTACACAGTGAGTTCCAGGTTAGCCAGGGCTACAAAGAGAAACACTGTCTCAAAAAACAAAATACAAAAACCAGATACTCTCCAGTCCCTGTGGAACAGGAGTAGAGCAGAAAGGGGAGGAGCCCTGGGCATCAGAATTGCATCAGCATTGGCAGGTTGGCTTGAGGGGATTTTGGTAGAGGAGAAAGAGCTCCAGAAATATTTGAATCCAGACTTAGTTTTGCCTCTTCTGTGTTTTCTACATTCTCTTCTATTTGCATGTGTAATCCTGAATTTGTCTGCTGTCATTATGATAGGACCACAGCTTCCCAGTGGCAGTGATTGGGGTGGGAAGAGGCAAGAGTCTTTTTCCCCCTTTTCTAATATGCAAAAATATCTATGTGTGGCATATGAGATTCCTTGGACCAGAGGGTGGAGATTTCTCATGGCACTTGTTGAAGCCACTATTTCAGTCCCCATTTCAATATGCCCTTAACGACCAGAGCATGAGCTCTGAGAAAGGAAAGGACGACCTGCTGTCATCATGAAGTCAACTTGTCATCCTCCATGATCAGGAGAGAGCAAGGTCTGCACAGCCTATCCTAGCTGGAGAGTTCCTTCAGGGCTGCTTAAGAGCTGTAACATTGATCCCCATTTGAGAGCTGACAGAGGGTGTCTGTATTGGCACGGGAGACACAGCCACATATGTTCATTATTCTCTCTTCCTCTCTTCATAACCCCTCCTCTGCCAAATATGCCCATGTTGGTCTTCTCCTCTTCACATGCTGAAATCCACATATGTTCTGAGGCTCAGAAAAATATCAACATATACATTCACTCACACCGTGCTGCAACACCCTTAAGGCCGTCAGTTCTTACAGCCACATCTCCTGGAATGTAACATCTTGAGTACTCATGATATGTTATAGCAGCACACTGCTTGGATGTGTCACATGAGTAGGACGTGGTTTCTGTCTGAAATATCATATGAGAGCAAACCTGTGCAGACTCAAAGTGGTAAGCCCAGAGGCACATATACAGAAATTACTAATTTTATCATTAGGAAGCCCATGGGTATACACTGAAGGGCAAAAACAGGGCTAGTGAGATTGCTTGGCTAGTAAAGTGCTTGCTTGGCAAGCACAAGGACCTGAGTTCAATGCCCAGAGCCTGCAAAAAAAGCTGAAGACATTGGCATGCATTTATCTCAGTGTCCAGGAGGCAGAGACAATGGGATACCTAAGGCTTGCTGACCAGCCAGCCTAGCCAAACTGATGAGATCCAGGTTCAGTGAGAGGCCCTGTCTCAAAAAATAAGTTGGAGAGAGATAAGATACCTGGTGTTGCTGACCTTGGCCTTTCTCTCTCTACCCACACACATACATACATTCTCTCTCTCTCTCTCTCTCTCTCTCTCTCTCTCTCTCTCTCTCTCTCTCTCTCTCACACACACACACACACACACACACACATACACAAGAAGAAACAGAATTTCTCATTCATGTATTTTACAAGTTTTTATGTGATTAATATTGAAAATTTCCCGAAGCTCCATTTTCTTATTTGTCTGTGTTAGTTTATGATCTTTCAAATCTGAGTCTCGAGTGCTCTTTTTTGTTTTGAGTACTCTTTATAATTCCTTTTTCTTTCATATTTCATTTCTTTTAAAGAATGATTTCTCAGTGATTATGGAGGTACACACTTGGAAGATAGAAGCAGGAAGATCAAGTTGGTTGGGCCAGCTTGGGCTATAAAGTGAGGGTCAGGCCAACCTGGGCTACAGAGAGAGAGCCTGTCTAAAAGGTAAAAAAGGAAAAAGGAAGGAGGATAGGAAGAAAGAAGGGAGGATAGGTTACTTCTTCTGGATGAATTATTCCATATACAGAAACTAAAAAGAGAGGCCTTGCCTAGGTTAGAAGTGAAATGGGCTGGTAGTGTAGCTCAGTGGTGGAGTGCTTGCCCAGCATGCACAGAGCTCTGGGTTTGAGTCCCCAGCTCTGCATAAACCAGACATGGTGGTGCAGACTGTAATCCAAGTACTCTGGAAGCAGAGACAGGAAGATGGGGAGGTCAAGGTCATCCTTGGCCTGCATATAGAGTTCGGGGCCATTTAATAAATAAATATAGTACCCTTTCAGAAATGCAACCTGTCTCTTCCTACTCAGTTGGGATAGTGAACCCTTACTCAGTAATCCTTTAGTGGTGTTTATAATGGGTATCTTGAACCAGGAAGCCCAAAATGACCCTATTTTCTTTTATTTGCTGTAGGTGTTTGAAGAACGAAGAGCTCTGCTTGGAAAATGGGTAAAGCATTTAAATTATATAGGCCCGCTGGGGATATCTGAGTTGCAGGGTATTTGCCTAGTCTGCACAAGGCCTTGGGCTCAATCCTCAACACCACAAGATAGATAGACAGATAATAAAAACAAAATATGCCTGTGTCTGAATCATGGTATAATATCTGTCTTAGTCTATTCAAGATACTATAATGAAAACCATAGGCCAAGTGGCTATTTGTTTAATTTTCTTAGTTCTGGGGCTTGGAAAGTCTCAATATCAAGGTGCTGGTGATGGGTGTCTGGTTAAAGCCCTCTTGAGCATCCCTCTTGCTGTCTCCTGAAATGGCAGAAATGGGGGAAGAGTTCTCTGGGATCTTGTTTTGAGATCCACCTCCTGAAGGCTCCACCTACTCCCCACCCCAATCTGCAGGTTAGGATTACATACTGGTTTTAATTTTTTATTAGATTTATTTTATATGTATGAGTGTTTTGCCTGCATGAGTGTATGTGCACCCTGTGGGTGACTGATGGCCATGGAGGCCAGAAAAGGGAAGCATACCTTTAACCCCAGCACTCAGGAAGCAGAAGGAGGTGGATCTCTGAGTTGGAGGTCAACCTGGTCTCCAGAGTGAGTTCCAGGACAATCAGGGCTACACAGAGAAACCCTGTCATGAAAAACCAATAAACAAACAGTAAAGGTTTTAACATGTGAGTGCTTCAGGACACAAACATTCAGTCTGAGCATTGTCTCGGTGTCATGCGTACCAAAGCAGTGCCAGCTCCTTCCTGAGAATCATGACTGATGGTTTCCACTTAAAGTCTACCTGGAAAACAGAACTCATTCAGTATTTTAACAGACATAATTTAATCAAAGGGGTTGGAGAATGAACATTGAAAGGAAGACTCAGGAAGGGGTTGGTGAGGGTCTGTGGAGAACTGGGCTAAAGCCAGCCTTACTTGCTCCAGCCCAACAGAGAATCCACAGTCCTGAGGGGGGCAAGTAGGCATCTCAGCCAGCTGGTTCTAATATACCCAAGAAAACGTGATGACTCTAGGTTACCTGTGGGACAGCTGGAGCCAGGAGTCAGGGTGAACAGTCAGGGTTGACAGGAGCCCAGGTGAGTAGGAAGGAGTATGTCTCTTCTTCCTCAGTTTCCCTGTAGTGCCCCCATAGTCACAGGCAGCATTTAGCAGAGTTGGCTGTCAATGGAGAAATATGGCTACAGAGTTCCAGCCTCCTTGACTCGCAGAGCGTAGTTATGTGGGTTTGGATATGAGAGAGGATTTCTTTGTAACCAAATGCAGTTCATCCACTGGCCCCCAGCATCCAGGTAGCAGGTACATTCTTCTGTATGTACTTGAACTTCTGCATGAGCACAAACAACTTCATGCTTCTGCCTAACAAGCTACAGTTATCCTTCATCATCAATGAGGGCTTTCTCATCTGTTCCTCTAATGAGGAGACAGAATCCCAAAGGTCATTATCCATTACTGAGTAATGTCAAGTTATGTGTTTCTGGGCAACAGATTACTTGTTGAATTACTCTACAGTTTCAACTAAATATTTTCTACTACTCAAGAGAATTGAAAACATATGGCCATATAAAAGCTTGCACATGAATGTTTATAGCAACCATATTCAAAATAGTCAAAAGCACAAACAATCCAAATATTCACCCACAGGTAAATGAATAAACAAAATGTGCTATGTTCATATGATGGATTTATTATTCAGTCGTAAAAAGAAAGTATTTCTGATACAGGCTATAACATGGATGAACTTTGAAGGCATTGTGTGCTAAGTGAAATAAGTCAATTAAAAGACAAATATTGTACAACTCCACTTTATATGAGCAAATTCATGAAGACAGAAAATAGAATAGAGGCAACCAGGGGTTGGGGAGCTAGTGTTTGACGGGTGAGACTCTTGGCTTGAGAAAGCTCTGGAGACAGGTGGTCGTGGTGGTTTTATGACAATGAGAATTTATTTAATGCAGCTGTACACATAAAAGCCTGTAATCCCAGCACTTGGGAAACAGAGGCGGGAGAATCAGCTCCAGGACAGCCTCAGGCTATGTACCAAGTTCAAAGCCAGCCTGAGCTTCTGGGACCCTGTTTCCCTAAATCAATCTTCTCCTCCCACTCCCCAAAACAGTTTAAATAGGATGAAATGCTTATTTTTTCCAAATCATTTTATCTTTAATAACCTGATGGTAATTCAAAACGTGAAAAATAAATGGTGAAGCTGTTCGGGCTATGGTCGATGCCACTGTGAGTGCCTCACCTACCACCCCACGTGAGGCTGAGATTGGATTCCAAATGCATGGGCAGTCAAACGGCTTCATGGCTTCCAGACTGATGTGTTTGGTTCCTGAGTCTCTGAAAGGCAGCAGTTGAAAATTTAAATGTAAGGGACTTCAGAGAACAGGGTGCCATTTCTTTTTTCTTTTTTCTTTTTTTTAAGGGGCATGGGAACAAAAAAGAAGCTGAGATTAGATGTGCCGATGGCTTTGTGACCTTGTCACAGTCAGTTGTACACTTTACTTTTCATTTCTCTCTGTGTGTGACTGTGTGTTGTGTGATGGCTGTATAAGGACACATGTGCCACAGTGCTCATGTGGAGGTCAGAAGACAACTTTGCGGAGTGTGTTCTCTCCTTCCGTCTTTATGTAGATTCCTGAGATCAAACTCAGGCCACCAGACTTGTACTGCCTGCCCCTTGAACTGCTGAGCCGTCTTACTGGCCCTCCACCTTACTTTTTAAGGCAGGATCTCTTACTAAATCTGGAACTCATGGATTCAGCTAGACTGGCTGACCAGCGAGCCCCTTGTCTCGGCCTCTCCAACCTTGGGAATTCAGGTGTTTGCCACCACACCCAGCTTTTACATGGTTGCTAGGGGTCCAAGCAAACCCCTTGCCAACTGAGCTATGTCTTATCCCTTCAAAGTCCTCACATTTTAACATACTTAGTTTTGATTATGCGTATATATGAAGGGGCAGGGTACATGTAAGGGATCCGTTTCATCTCAGGACCCCTAAGACTAAGTTCTCAGGACAAAAGAGATTTACTTGCCCAGAGGGACAAAGAGCAGGGAATTAGAGACAAGACAGGAGATAGAGGAGAGGGGAAGGGAACAAGACAGAGGGGTCAGGGATATTTGCTTCTGAGTAACAAAGACTGCCTTTGGATAGAGAGCAGATAGCTGTGGCCCATAGGAAGCTGGCAGTTTATAAAGGTAAGAGGAAAAATTCTGTGTTAGGATTGAGGTGTTTAGTGTTAATTGGGCATATTAATTAGGTGAGCCAAGTAGGGTTTTTGTTTGTTTGTTTTGCTGTCGTTGTTTTGTTTGTTTTTTGAGGCAAGGTTTCACTTGTAGCTCTGGCTATCCCCAAACTTTCTGTGTTCCAGGCTGGCCTTGAACTAACCGAGATCTGCCTGCCGCTGCCTCCCGAGTGCTGGGATTAAAGGCCTGTGCATCCACTGACTGGTCACAGGGGGCTTTTGATTGCTGAACTTCAATACTTTGATTAGATGGACCTTGATAGTCAGCCTCAGGGGGAGGAAGTGGCCAAATAAGGGAATAGACCTTGGTCGTAAACTTTCAGAATGTAATCTAACAATTTTTAGCAAGGCAGAAGGAATGGGGGAGAAAGGCAAGGCTTGCTAGAGCCATGTTTGCCGTGGAGTCCCTTCAGTATGTGCACATGAGTGCAGGTACCCATGGAGTTAGAAGAGGGTGTCAGATCCCCAGAGCTGGGGTTACAGGTGGTTATGAACTGCCTTGCCTGGGTACTGGGAATAAACTCAGGTTCTTTGCAGGAACAGTAAGCTCTCGTAACCACTGAGCAATCTCTCCAGCCCCGTAAATAATTTCATTTTTATTCATGAATGTACACGTGGTTCTGTCTGACATTTAGAATAGTTACAAACAAAATAATAATGAGAAATTGAAGCTGTGTGGTAGTGCACACCCGTAATCCCAGCACTGCAGAGGCTGAAGCAGGAGGATTGTAAATTCAAGAGCAGCCTGAGATCCACAATAAGACCCTATCTTTAAAAAAAAAAAAAAAAAAAACTCTGTAGGGCTAGGGAGATGGCTCAGTGGTTAAAGTACTTACCTCATAAGTTGAAGTAGAAGAAAAGTTCAGGTCCCCACAATCCAGATAAAGTCCAGAAGGTTGTCGTACCTCTCTGTAAATCTAATCTTTGAAAGCAGAGCCAGGATCCCTAGAACACACTGGCTAGCAAAATAACTCTGTGAGCCCTGGATCAGACTGAACCCCTGCCTTGATACATAAAGTGATAGGTAGTGATTTCCAGCATCAATCACACACATACACACACACACACACACACACACACACACACACACACACACACACACACACACACAAGTTCAAGGGAGCCTCCCAAATCACCCTCCTGTCCTTGCCATTCATTGTGAGATGATTGATGAACTCTAACAGCTCAAGCTACGGCGACTCTAAAAATAGCATGCTCACAATTACCAAGAATGCCCCACAGAACAGCGTCCTTCAGGAGTGAACCCCGAATGAGAGAACTCTAGCAGCTACCCAGCCTCACATGCTGATTCCTCACTTTTATGCTTCAGATTTTACTGAAGAATTGATGCAAGAAATCAGGGAGATTGCTAAATTCCTGCACAGTGAACTTTGCCTGGATTATCTGCTTCCCGGTTTATCCTAACACCTTCTAAACTCCACAGGGATTTCCCCCCTGCTGCTCAGTATTCTGAGTCATCACCCCCATCTTGAATTGGTAGGGGTTCAAGGAATGCAAATTCATTTTCTATTAGCTTAAACAAACACAATTAGAAAGGAAAATCCCTGAGGCAAAAAACACCTATCGGAGCCAAATGTAAATTATCCTGGACTTTCTGGATCAGTGAAACAAATGAAAAGTCCAGGTAATTATATTTTTAATCTCCAGGGAGAGTGTTTCAGTGATTTCCTTTATAGGTTTTTATGATCTTAATGTTCTTTTATATTCATTTAAAGTCACACTATAATGTGAGTTCATTCTCTTATACGACATTAAGGAAATCTGGTGAGCTGACCTGGGCTTGTCCTTGTCAAGACGAAAACATGACAACTTGGTACTTTTAAAGTTTCTGGCATATCTCCTTTACACAGACTTAACTACTTACATATTCTTACATATTGTTTTTTTAAGATATCCATGGCATTTTAGAATAATAGGTATCCTTTATACAATGTACAAGCACACATACACACACATACATATGTACAGGTAATCCTCACAATAGTATGCAATCCTCATAATAGCCCTACGATGTACTTATAATGACCCCCAATATATAAATGAGGACATTTTAAATGTTACAAACAGTAGAAAAGATAGTGAGTATTTTCTCCTGTCAAACAATCCAAACTCAGAACATACAGGCAAATCTTATGTGAGGTGTGGAAAACTAATCCAGGAGACACAGGTTCTAACAGCTCTGAATCCCTGTTTGGAAGGAAGTAGAGAAAGCGGGACCTTTACAGACAATGGGCTCTAAAATCCTCACAGGGTAATTTGAAGTGTTGAAACAGAGACTCCTTTTGAAGTTGGAAAAGACTGTGAGAGCCAGAGGAGCACAACCTAAAGTGGCATTTCTCATGTCTGTACTCCAACAAAAATGAATTCACACACATATTGCGAAGGAAAGTTTTAGCTGTCAACCTGCCACAACCTAGACTCCTGTGAGAAGGGAGTTTCAACTGAAGAACTGTCTAGACTAGATTGACCTGTGGGCCTGCCTAGTCTATGGGGGATTGTCTTATAGGCAGTACCATTTCCTGAACAAGAGCTTCTGAACTGTATTGGACAGGAGAAAACTAGCTGAGAGCAATCAAGGATCATTCATTTCTCTCTGCTCTACACACACACACACACATTTTTTATTATATTTTCCTAGTGTCATGTCTGTTACGATGATAAAACACCTCAACAGAAAGCAATTCATGTAAGAGAGGGTTCATCTTAGTCCACAATTGCAGTTCTAGTCCACCATAGCGGGGACACTAAAGCAGTAACTTAAAACACATCTACAGTCAAGAGCAGAGAAATATAAGTGCACACAGGCACACGTGCTCAGCTTTCTCTCAGCACTTGGATAGTACAGGGTCCCATGCCTGGGGAATGGTGCCTCCCACTATAGACTGGATCATTCCACATCAGTTAACATACGGCAGCCACGCCCCTCCACCTGGGCCATGCCCAAATGCCAACCTAGTCTAGTCAACGCTTCAATGAGACACTCCTCAGGTAGCTCTAGATTGTGTCAAGTTGACGATTATATATCCACTGAAGGTCTAGGTCAGATGCACTTCTGCAGATGCAGTTTAGTCATGTAACATGGAAATGTGAGAAAGGATAAGTCAGTGGTGAAATGTGGACCTTACTGAGCTGGTATGGTAACATACGCATGCTATGCATTAGCAGTAACTTACTAAACTCACTTTCGGTGCTATTCTCTTTCTCATGGTTGATCAGAATACGTGTGGGACTCTCGTTCTGTTTCCTCAGTTTGACAAATGGACAGACTCTCAGAGGAGAAGAATTCTTACAGGCCTGCTAGAGCGCTGCTCCCTGTCCCAGCAGAAGTTCTGTTGTCGAAAGCTGCAGGAAAAAATCCCAGCAGAGGCTCTGGATTTTACTACCAAGCTTCCAAGGGTGTTATCTGTCTATATCTTTTCCTTCTTGGATCCCCGGAGCCTTTGCCGCTGTGCACAGGTAAAGGCAATGGAATGGTACATGGTGTTTTATTGGGACAGCCTTAGGAAACTCTGAAGGAATAACCTAAAGATGAACCCCACATGCCTGTGCATAAAGCCAAGTAATGGGTTTTATGTCTAACTTTGTGTGTGTGTGTGTGTGTGTGTGTGTGTGTGTAAGACACTTTTAAATGGAGGTTTCTCTGTCCCACCCATCCCTCAGTGGCTTGTAAATAATCATTCAGAAGCTTATTATTAATTACAAACTGTTTATAGGTTTATTGCTAACTAGCTCCTGCTTTTTTTGTTTTTGTTTTCCGAGACAGGGTTTCTCTGTGTAACAGCTCTGTCTTGAAACTAACTCTGTAGAACAGGCTGGCCTTGAACTCACAGTGATCTGCCTGCCTCTGCATCCCAAGTGTTGGGATTAAAGGTGTGCACCACTACTGCCTGAATGGCTCCTACTTTTAAATTAACCCATTTTTGCTAATCTATGTATTGCCACGTGGCTTGTGGCTTTACCTGTGATCTAGTACATCTTGCTGCTCCAGCAGCTGGTTGGCATCTGCCCCTGACTCTGCCCTTCTTCCCCTGTATCTCCGCTTGGGTTTCTTGCCTTGCTATATTTTGCCTTGTTATAGGCCAAAGCGGCTCTTATTATCAACTGATGAGAGCAACATATATTCACAGTATACAGAGGGGTTACCCCACAACAAGTCACCATAAGTATCAGATGACAAAAACTACTAGCAATTATAAACATATAAGTGGTTCCTCAACAGGACAGCATCTACAACAACACCCTAGACCAGTGGTTTTCAACCTTCCTAATGCTGTGATATTTAACACAGTTCCACATGTTGTGGTGACCCCCAACCATAAAATTATTTTCATTGCTGTTTCATAACTGTAGTTTTGCTACTGTTATGAATCGTAATGTACATATCTGATATGTGAGCCTTGTGAAAATGTTGTCAAACCCCCCAAAGGTATTGACCCACAGGTTGACAACCACTGCCCTAGACTATGTAATACAGGTCATCTGTAAATAGAAAAGCTCACAAGACGGTGTTTAGGCAATATGTACTAAGAAGACAAGAGCCAAGCTGTGAACTCAACACTTGGAAGACTAGGTCGGAGAACTATTATGAGTTCAGGAATACACTGGGCTGCAAAGCAAAACCTTTCTCAAAAATAAAACAGAAAGATAGGTAGGTCTGAGTGTGCCAGTATACCCTCTGAGGGCTTAGGGAAAAAAGAAGCCAATATTTCTTACAAGTAATTCTTTATTGAATTAAACTGAAGTTAAGGGGCTGGAGAGATGGCTCAGCAGTTAAGAGCATTCGCTGCTCTTGCAGAGGATCCAGGTTCAGATCCCAGCATCCACAACATGTCTATAATTCCAGTTCCAGGGCATCTGACTCCCTCTTCTGGATTGCATGCCTATACATATACACAGGCAAAAATACTCATGCATTTAAAAGTAAAAATAAATAAATGCTTACAAAATAATTTAAAAATAACCAGGAATTAAATTAAGATATAAACCTGTAAAGCAGACTTGGTGGGGCACACCTGTAATTCCAGCACACCACAGGAGGATCAGAAGTGTAATGTTACCGAGCTTTGCCTTCAAGGAAAATGACAGATGTTGTCTGGGATCCCTCAGCGCAGTTCAAGCACTAGCGGAAAAGAGGCTGTGAATGTGAGAAGGTTGCTTTGTTTTCCCAGGTGAGCTGGCACTGGAAGAACCTGGCTGAGTTGGACCAGCTCTGGATGCTCAAGTGCCTGCGCTTTAACTGGTACATTAGCTTCTCACCAACGCCTTTTGAGCAGGGTGTCTGGAAAAAGCACTACATTCAAATGGTGAGAGAACTTCACATCACCAAACCCAAGGCAAGTCTGAGACAGAAAGCAGCACACTTGGAGAATGTCAGCTGTGGTAAATTCCAGAACTGTGAGTTAATGATCCAGCTTGAATTCAGGCAAGGGAATGGGTCAAAGAGCATACCCATGACTTCAAACTTCTCGTTGGAGGAGGCCTCATAGGCCTTTTCAGGATGCTCATGTTACCAAGAGATCTCACCTGCTGCCTCCCTCCAACCACAGCTACCTGTAGAGGTCAGACTGGGGGGCTCCTCCCTGTATCCCCACCCTGATTTATGTGCCTCTCCCTCAATCTTCAGACAGTTTGACATGGGAATTACACTTTATGTTCAGTAATTGTCAGTATGGGCCATTAGAATTTGCACATTTAGATTTGCTATGATTCTATAAGTCGAGGTGAAGTTGGTTGGTTGGTTGTCGTTGGGTTAATTAGTTTGTTGTTTGAGACAGTGTCTCCTTATGTAGCCTAGGCTGGCTCTGATCTCCAGAACCCTCAGCCTCAGCATCAGGGATGCTGTTACTATAGATATGTGCCATAATGCTTGAGTGTTTATTTATTAGCGTCATGGGGATCCACACTAGGGCCTCATGCAAGCATGATTGTCTGAGTTTGGGTCTCCACCAAAAAAAGCCACTTGTAATCCCAGCACTGGGGAGATGGAGAGAGGATGATCCCTTGGGTTTAGCTTGCCAAGACAAATGGGAAAGTTCCCAGTCCTCGTGAGAGACCCTGACACCCAAGGTTTAACTCTGTCTTCCACAACCATGTTCACACATATGTGCACACACCCTCGTTTGATGTGACAGTTCACTTGAAAAAGAAGAAATGTAGGATCATTTTAATGCAGATATGCAAACAAGTCATCTAACAAGATTCAACGTCCAGAAAGATGTTGGGAATATAGCTCAACAGTAGACCCAGTGCTTGCCTAGCATATGTCAGGCCCAGGGTTTAACCCCAGCACCAGCACCAAAGATTTGAAATGGTAAGAGCAAAACTTGTTGTGGATTTCATTATTGTTTTTCAGAATTAATGCTTTTTCTACATTTTGCCATTACTTATACTTGAATACCTCCAAAGTTTTTTAAAAAAATTATCCCATATCATTTTATTTCTAATAGTAGTGTACGTATTGCTTTTATCATTGCTGTGGCAAAATACCTGGCAAAAGCAACCCAGAAAGAAAGGTCTATTTTGGTTCATAGTTCAAGGGTATAGTTCATAATGGTGGGAAATCATGGCTGAAGGATCTTAAGGCAGATGGTCACATTGCATCCACAGTCAGGAAGCTAGGAGGGGAATGCTGGTGTTTAGTCGCTGTCTCTTTTTTATTCGGTGCCCAGAATGATGCTGCCCCAGTCAGGGTAGATCTTCTCACTCCAATTAACCCTGTCTAGAAACTCCCTCACAGATGTGCCCAGAGGTTTATCTCCTAAGTTATTCTAGATCCTGTCAAATTGACAGTATGAACCATTGCATGGATTAAAGTAGAACTCCTCCAGCAAAAAAAACAAGGGTTTATTTCTGAATAAGCTAGTAGAAATGAACGTCCATTCTAGATGAGACCTATACAGCATACAGAATTGTACAAACATTACATGTCTTCTAAGTTGGCTACTGAACTACAGTGATAGTAATCTTGATCTTCAACTTGGCATGCCTGGGACTGACCTCTTGCCGTGTCTGTGATGCTTTGCCTTGACTGCTAATTGATGTAGGGAAGGAACTTGAAGCAGAAACCATGGAGGGATGCTGCTTCAAGTTCCTTCCCTGATTTCCCTTGATGATGGACTGTAACTTGTAAGATGAAATGAACTCTTTCCTCCCCAAGTTGCTTTTGGTCATGGAGTTTATCCTAGCAGCAGACAGCAAACTAATACAGCCATAATCATTCATAGTGAGTAAATATTTATCAAACACTGTTAGGTGGTAAGCGCTAAGAGTACAAAGATCCTAACCAGTTTCCACAGAACTCAGTCTAGTAGCCATGACATACCCAAATAAACACTATACTTGAAACATTTAACACTAGCATAATCTTGGAGTAGAAATGACTAGAACGAACAGGGAGTGGCTCAAACAATGAACCTTGCTATGCTTGGGGAACTAGGGAAATTGCCTCTCCCTCCTTCCTTCTTCCTTTTCTTCCTTCCTTCTTTATTTTTGGTGGTTGAGCTGGGTATGGAATATGAAACCCTAGCAGAGAGTTACACCCCAGTCCTAACTGGGGAGATTCTTGATTTTTTTACTCACAATTGAAGCAAGTCAATTTACCAAACAAAGCCTCTCTAATCTCTTAATGAACAAAAATTGAGCTCTTAATGGCTTCCCAACATACCAGTACCATTTCCCTTGGGCTAAACCCGTGTTGAAAACAAAAGATGGACGTCTAATTTTGGAAATTAAATAGAATTATTCTTAGGGAGTGGCTTGACTTTGGATAATTGACACAGCTACAGTCTGCCCCTGTGCAACTTGAACGTGTCTGTCTGTTAGTTCATTAAGGGTAGGGCACTTTGTGTGTATGTGTGAAGAGGTGCATCCTTTTCATGAATATATTAACTTCTATTAAGTGTGATAATCTAGATGATGGTAAGAGCTACAGGATAGGATGAAAAGGCTTGACATACACAAAGACTTGGACTTTAATTCTGTATTCAAATTGAAATTCTACTTATGTCTTATGGGCCAATTAGATAGGTTTTTCTAGCTTCAGAGTCTGCCTCTGTAAAATAGGAGCAATGATGAGCTCTCTTTACTGTGAAAGTTGGGAGTGGTGCTCACACCTATAATCCCAGCACTTCTGAGGTTGGGGAAGAAGGATTGCAGTAAACTCAAAGCCAGCCTGGGTCGCAGACTGAGACACTGTCTTTGAACACCAAACAAGGTAGACTGTTTGCATGTTGGTCAGAAAGTCCTAAATTGAGTCCCCAGTGCTATATAAACCTGGTGTAATAGACCTGTAACCTTAGCATTCAGGAGGGGGAGGCAGGAGGATAAAGAGTTCAAGATCATCTTGGGTTGTACAGGAGTTTGACGTGAGCTTGGGCTATATAAGGCCCAGTATAAATAAATAATAAATAAATTACTATGAAGATGGAATAATAAAATGCAAAGAAACTGCTATGCACATCCAAGTACTCATGGGACAGTGGCTGCTGCCATCCTCATCGTCATTGTTATGGATATGTGAAGATGAGGATGAGGAGGGCGAGGAGCAGGGTAGTCAAGATGTTTGTGTTCTTTGTCTATTGGTGGTGGGTGGTGGTGTTCTGGTACCCTCAGAGTAGAAATAATACATTTTCTTCCTCTAGACGCCTCCAAAGGATGGATTCATAGTTGCTGATGTTCAGCCCATTCCCGGAAGTTCTCTAGAGGAAAAACAGTCCTCTTCCTTAGCTTTGCGGTCTTCCTCCTCCTTAAGAAGGAAGAATAACCCAGGGGAGAAAGAGCTTCCACCGTGGAGATCGTCGGATAAGCATCCCACTGACATCATCCGCTTTAATTATCTAGACAACTGTGACCCTGAACACTTCTGGCAAGGGTGAGAAGCTCCATACCCTCTCAGCCTTTTTGTTGTTCAAAATAATCTATTGACACTTGAGGACATGAAGAAAGGTGATCCCAGAACTCACTGTGGCTTACAGAAGCTTTTCAGTAGGTCCGTGTGGACTAAACATTCTTAACAAGTCTGCCCTCTTCATTGTCATCTGTTTGCTTCTGAAAGCTGTAACGACTTAGCAGCGCACCCTCCTTAATTACTGTGTGCGCATGCCACTGCACACATGTGTGGAGGTCAGAGGGCAATTTAGGAGTCGATTCTTTCCTTCCACCTTGGGTTCAGGGGATCAAACTCAGATCATTAGGCATGTATACCAAGGACTGCTACCCACTGAGCCATCAGGTCAGCCCATCATTTAAAATTTTTATTTAATTATTTTTGTATGTATGTGTTGTGTGTGTTGTGTGTGTGTGTGTGTGTGTGTGTGTGTGTGTGTGTGTGTGTGTGTGTGTTAGAAGGGGTGCCTGTGGAGGCTAGAAGATCTTTGAACTGGAGTTCCAGGTCGTTTGTTTGTGCGCTGTTCAGTGTGGATCCTGGGAACTAAACTCGGGTCCTGTGAGAAAACAGGAAGAGACCTTAACTGATAATCACCAGCTACCTTATTTTAATATTAATTCCAAGCCAGCATCATGTGGTTCATCCTAGATTTCTTTCCTTTTTATACTTCCTTTCTTTCTAGTGAGTGAGCAAATGAAAGGAGGGAGGGGCAAACTATGATGCCCCCCCCCCGCCCCCGGCCATGCAGAGCACGAGGTAATAAGACAGTCACTGACTTTTCCCTACCAAGCTAAGTAGGCATGGACTTGTAAAAAAAGATCAGACCAAGTTGAGGCAGCCTGAGCTAAGTAATGAGATCCTGTCTCAAAAGAAAAGTGGCAGCTGAAATACTGGTGGTACACATCTGCACTCAGCACTGAGGAGGCTGAGGTAGGAAGACGGCACATTTAAGGCCAGCCTGGGCTACATAGAGATATCCTGCCCCCCTCCACAAAAAACCTCAGACCAAAAGTGTATTATAATGAAGTAGAAAGTTAAGTTATATATAGTAAAATATTACCAGTTATTGAAATGAGATGGAGGCTATGTGGTTCATCACTCTGCTGCTAATCTCTCAACTTCCCTGCCTTTTGGAGGTTGGTTTGTTTGTGGAGATAGAGTCTCCTTTTGTAGCTAAGGCTTGCCTTCAACCTGCATTCCTCCTGCCTCAGAACCCTGGATGCTGGAATTGTCAGTGTGTGCCACCATGCCTGGCTTTCCTGTACATTTGGAATTCCTGTGTATTAGTGCTCTCCATCAAAATGTAATGTGATGCTATTAATTTTTCCTACATGTGGCTAAGCTGGATGATGCGGCAAAGTCAGACTGACAAAGCCAATTTAAGCCTGTTTTAGGATTAAACATTGTCTGGAAGTTGCCTTCTAGTCCTGACCTGAAATAGGATGAATGGGGATGAATCTGGGCAGTCAGGCTTCACAGTATGTAGCTCTTCTGGGGGCATGCACAGAATTGCAGGTATGTGCTAAATTTTCTGGGATTCTAGCTTTTAAAAAAAATCCGTGCGTTAAAGTCAGATGTGGTGCTGCTCACCTTTAATTCCGGTACTTGGGAGGCAGAGGCTGGCAGATCTCTTTGAGTTGAGGCCAGCCTGGTCTATAGAGCAGGTTCCAGGACAGCCAGGGCTGTTACTCAGAGAAACTTTGCCTTGAAAAAACAAGAAAAAAGGACAGAAGGGAGAGAGGGGGGAAAGAGGAAGGGACAGAGGGAGGAAGAAGGTGAAGGAGGCAGAGAAGGAGGGAAAAAAGAAAGGACGGAAGTCATTCTTGGAACAACTGCATAAATTTTAATATGGACCATGTATTAAATGATAGTAGATAATGTGTGTTTCCTAAGACATAATGGTACTAGCGTGACTGGATAGACAAGGGTCTTGTCTTAGGACATGAGTGTTGAAGTATTAGGAGGGATGTATCATTTTTGCAACTAATCAAACAACCATCATCACGAAACCCAACCATATATATATATATTTTTTTATATGTGGAGGGATCAATGAAGCCAAGAACAATCAAATGCTATCAGTATCTACTTAAGGCTGGGATTGCTGCCTTAGCCTTCTAGCTCTTCTGTCTATTTGAAACTCCTCAATTAAAACTTGGAAGACCTCTTGAAAATGAAGTGCCAAGTAATATTTGGGCAGACACATTCTTTTAAAATTAAAAGCCTTTTATGACAAATATTCAAACTAGATAGATTGATAGATAGATAATCAAAATTAGCCTTTCATGGCTATCATCAGTTGTTACAGTTTTTAACCCATAGCTGATCTGGAGTCACTTATTCCATATCTACTCTGCCCCTCCCCTATATGATGATACTAATGATTTAGCCAGGATCTCACTAGGAAGCCCAAGCTAGCTTCAAATTCCCAACCCTCCTGCCTCAATCCTCCTATGTCTGGATCACCATGTCTTCATTACCATTTCTGGATACCCTAAATAGTTTTTTAAATAAATGGTTTTTTGGGGGTTTTTTTTTTTTTTTGGTTTTTCGAGACAGGGTTTCTCTGTATTGTTTTGGAGGCTGTCCTGGAACTCGCTCTGTAGACCAGGCTGGCCTCGAACTCACAGAGATCTACCTGCCTCTGCCTCCCAAATGCTGGGATTAAAGGCGTGTGCCACCAACGCCCGGCTTTAAATAAATGTTATATTATTTCATATATGACTTATTTCATATCTCATATACTTCTGTTTTCTTTCTTCCTTCTTTCCTCCTCCCTTCCTTCTTTTTTTTTTTTCTTTTGGTTTTTGGTTTTTCCAGGCAGGGTTTCTCTGTGCAACAACCCTGACTGTCCTGGAACTCGATTTGTAAACCAGGCTGGTCTTGAGCTCACAGAGATCCACCTGCCTCTGCTCCCAAGTACTGCGCCACTACACCCGACTATCTCTATTCTCAAAAAGTAAGAACCCTTTATAGAAATCATAATCGGACACCATCCTCATCTAACACGCTAACTCCTTAATACGATTAAGGGTCATCAGTGTTCAGGGTGCCTTGAATGTCACACAGACGTTTGACTTTGTAACGAATGCTTTGTTTGATCAGGTTCCAGATAAGGTCTGAAATGCCTGTTGCATTTTGTCCATGTGTTCGTTTCTGCCCTGAATTGCAGGTTAACCCTCTGCTCCACATCCTCCTCTTCTGAAGTTCCTTCCGCTCCTGCTCTCCTTCTGCCTTCTTCTCCCGCTACCCCCAACTTGCAATTGTAGAAATCAGGCCATTTGACACGCTCCTCACATTCTGGACTCTGTGGAGTGCCCAACCATCCGTGTCTTCTCATGTCCCCTGTCCTCTGTCCCTGGCCACACTGATAGTCAGAATAAGAAGCACTAGACCATATGGATAAACACTAGACTATATGGACAAATACACACACCTCCATTTCTGCTTCCTACTGTGTTGTTGGTAACCATGGAAGCATATTACCTAGATTCACTATTTCAGGCAAACTTATTCTAGAAGGGGCCAGAAGGGAGATAGTTTAGGCTCTGCAGGACATAAGCTCCATGGCTCAGCTCTGATGGCATGGTCTGATATTCCACACACAAAAACCATTGTTTTCTAATGCAACTCTATGAACAAAGTAGACAGCAGGCTAAACTTTCCTTTAATCCCAACACTTGGGAGGCAGAGGGGCAGAAGGAGCAGAGGGGCAGGGGGAAGGGGGAGAGGGGCAGAGGCAAACTCTGTGAGTTTGAAGTCAGGTGGTCTACATAATGAGTTCCAGTTCCAGGCTAGCCAGGACTATATAAATTGACCATGTCTAAAAAGAAAGAAAGGAAGGAAGGGAGGGAGGGAGGGAGGAAGGAAGGAAGGAAGGAAGGAAGGAAGGAAGGAAGGAAGGAAGGAAGGAAGGAAGGAAAGAATTCAGCTAAATAATGGTGTTAAAAGCACAAGAAAAAACTGTGGCTGTGCCACCAACTTTATGAACAAAATCAAATTTGTTTCATTTCGCTTTTTGTTATTTCCTCACTTTCATCTTAGCTTATATTCTGAAGAACATGTTAGTTGGTTCCAAAAGTCAAGTATACAAAATAAGGTTATGTTTGTGGGAGTCTAACTCTCGCTCCCATGTCTCCATAATGTTTCTGGGGGATTCCTAATGTTTCTGGGGCACCCTACCTATGGATAATTGCCTTTCAAACTTTTGTATCATTCTTCCACTTTAAAAAGTTTGAAGAGTCGGATATGGTGGCGCATGCCTGTGATCCCAACGCTTAGGAGGCAGAGGCAGAATGCTCAGCAGGAGTGTTGGGTTAGCCTGGTCTATATAACAAGTTTCAGGAGCAGTCAGTGAGGTTACATAGTAAGATCCTGCCTCAACAATAATAAAATAATAACTAAACAGTACAAACAAAAGTAATAATAAAATTTAACAAATAGAAAGTACAGGGGCTATTGTTCTTGCACAGGCCCTGAGTTTAGTTCCCAGCTCCCCACATGGAAGCTCATAACTGCATGTAGCTCTAGTTTCAGGGGATCTGACACCCTCTTCTGGCCTCTACAGGCATGTAGGCAAACCACATACATGGGAAATAAAAATGTTTTTAAAAGTACTGGCAGGTTCTAGGATGGCATGTAGGGAATCTTCATCCAGTGACTGATGGAAGTAGAGACAGATACCCACAACTAAACACTGAACTGAACTCCTTGAACCTAGTGACAGAGATGGAGGAGTGATGAGCAAAGGGGTCAAGACCACGATGGTGAAACCCACAAAGACAGCTAGCCAGATAAGGGGGAGCTCTTGAATCCCAGACTGATGGCTGAGAGGCCAACATGGGACTGATCCAGACTCCATGAATGTAGTGCCAGTGAGGAGGCCACAGAAATCGATGGGGCCTTGGGTAGTAGATCAGTGTTTACCATGGTGTATGAATGAACTTTGGGAGCCCACTCCACATGGAGGGATGCTCTCTCAGCCTGGACACATGGGGAAGGGCCTAGGTCCTGCCCTGGGTGAAATGACAGACTTTGGAGATCCCCCCCAAGGAGGGCCTCACCCTCCCTGGGGAATGATGTGGGGATGGGGTGGGGGGCTGGGGGGTTCGTGGAGGGACAAGGAAGGAGGGGTGGGAGAGGGAGCTGGGACTGACATGTGAAGCATTCATGTTTCTAATTTAAATAAAAACATATATTAAGGGGAAAAAAGTACCGGCAGACAGCAGACTGTTATGTTTTTAGATGTCTCCTTCTGAGATAAATGGCAGCATACAGTCTATTCACCTCTCTTTAACTGGTTTTCTTTTTCATGTGTCATTGTATCCTGAGGCTCACCATACCGTTGTGTATAGAAATAGCCTGCCTTCGTTTTCACAGCTCAGAGCTCTCCTTTGTGTTCCTGTGCCAGGACTGATTAAACTGGCTCTCTATAGACAGACATTTGACTTATTTCCAATGGAGTGCAGGCAGCCTTTCAATCAAACAAAGGTCATCAAAAATGGGGTGAAAAAAATAGCTATGTTAACTGCTGAAGACTTCAAATGACCAGTTATAATTTTCCCATCACTTTGTGATTTTGCAGAAGAAGAAAAAGAAAGGAAGTGACCCCAGACTTGAAGCGGCAGGTGAGAGATAAGAAAAACAAGCTTGAGGACAGAGCCAGGCTCAGGAAAGCACAGTCACTGGTAAGTCTGCTGGAACACTCTCCCCTTCACTGGTGGAAATTACCCTGGTCCCTAATCCTATTTGTGAAATTGGATTTGTTTGCTAAATCATGATCATCAAGTGGTTGTTTAAACCCCGGTCTCTGGGGCTAGAGATGTAGCTTAGCTCAGTTGCTAGAGCGATTGGCAGCATGTGGAAAGTCCTGGCTCCCATCCCCGGCACAGCAAAAATCTCACAGTGGTACATGCCTGTAATCTCAGCTCTTGGGAGATAGAGGCCGAAGGAATTCAAGTTCCTGGTCATCTTCAGCTACACAGCAAGCTCAAAGCCAGCCTGGGTTAAATAAATAAATAAATGAATAAAGTGACTCAAAAAATAAATAAACCAAACTGAATTAAGAATTTTTTCTGTCTCCAGTTAAAAATCAGTTAATTGGCAACATAATAATGTCAGTAATTGTGACTAGGGAACACGATTAATTTGTAGCAGACTTCCCCAAATTGTGATTTGGACCACAGGGGATCCCTTTTTATCACATTATGAGAGGTTTTGGAGCAAAGTGGGAAGGAATTCGGTTGGAATTAAAAGTGCATGTAACGTAATGAGAACTGAAAGCAAGGCTGAGGACACACTCCAGGAAAATTAATAGAGAATGGATATCAATTGTCGGGATAATCTGCACCCACTCGGGAGTAAATCTCTTCCACAGCTCAGCTTGAAAATCTGTTACTTTCTGCCGAAATGCATTTTCAAGTGTTATATTAAAAACACACACACACACACACACAAGAGAGTGAGAGATAAGCTTCTTAAAATAGACCTGCCTGTGTGCTAAAGATCAGTTCTACTGCACTGGAGAGGCTCCTTGCAGACATGTGCAGCCTGTGAAACCTGAACCAAAGCCATACAGCTCTCCATGAATCTGTTGATTGAATAGATAGGTAGGTGGATGGATGGATGGATGGATGGATGGATGGATGGATGGATGGATAGATATATATATACATATATAGATAGATAGATAAACAGATGATAGACAGATAGATAGATAGATAGACAGATGATAGATAGACAGATAGATAGATAGATAGATAGATAGATAGATAGATAGATAGATAGATAATGTTATGGGCCCCATTGCATAGGCCATCATGAGACATTCTGCCTGGTTTCCATCCCACTAAGCAAGAAGGAGGAAAGAAGCCAAAACAGAATCTGAACCAGATGTAGTGGCCCACTCCTGAATTCCAACACTCAGGAAGCTGAGGCAGGAGGACAGCTGTGAGTCTGAGACTGGACTCAAAATACCAAAGAAATAGAGACAGAGGGAGGAGACAGGGAGGACAGAAAGTGTGTGTGGGGGACAATATAAATCTGAAGAAATGTATGCTGAGAAATTATCAATGCAATTGAATGTTTCCCCTGCTTAAAAATCACAAAAACCTGTGGCTTTTTATAGTAACCATCTATCAAACACTAGCAGAGATTCTTAAAGTATTCATTAGAATTCAAAAATGGAAAGATGGAGATGTAACTCAACTGGTGGGCTGCTTACTTAGTATGCATGAAGTCCTAGGTTCAATCCTCAGCATGGCACAACCTAGTCATGCTGGCTCACACCTGTGATCCCAATACTGGGGAGGTGGAGGCAGGAGGATCAGAACTTCAAGGTTACCCTTAGCTACATAGAAAGTTCAAGGCCACCCTGAGCTGTGTGAAACCCTGTGCCCCCCCCCAAAAAAACCAAACAAACAAACAAAATGAAGACATTAAAAAGTGGGTTAGGTGTGGTGACACACCCTGTAATCTCAGTACTGGGGAGGTTGAGGCATGAGAAGGATCAGTACAAGTTCCAGGCTAGACCAAGGTAAGACACCGCCTCAAAAGCATAGGTAAATAAATAAATAATAAACCATGAAGAAGTTGTGCTAATTAGGATCAAAGGGGAAATCCAGATGAATTAATGATAGAGAACAATTAGCTATTACTAAGCACATGGTTATTATATCTGCCTGTTTTGGTTTTGTAAGTATACTAATTATAATTACTACATACATTTGGTAGTTTTGATAAAGAGTATAATTGACCTCTGGCCAGAACTATGGTGTGGTCTTTGACTCATGCCTGCAATATGCTGACCTGTGACAAACCTGGCTGTTGGTGCTGCAAAGTAGTGGTTCAGGACCCCTCTCCACAGAGTGGCAGTTTGCACTCACTATAGGTCACAGGCCTGGGAAGGAAAAAGCCACGCTGCTGATGCGGGCTCTTGTGGCAGTGAAGAGATGCTGGGGGGAGCCTGGAAAGGGGAAGCAGTGGTACTAAAATCATTACCCCTCCCTCCATAGGAGGGAACATGTGAACACACCCCAAATGATCCTAATGAGTGACTTCGATAGAAAGTTCTAGGATCCTTCCAAGGGGTTTATGGGGGGAGAGGAAAAGGGTGTGGGGGGAGGAGCTGGTGCTAACTAAACAGTTGAAAGTGTGATACCTCCCTCACCTCACCAGAGGACTATCTGAGACGACAATAATTGAAAATGAGTTGTTCCTATCCTGTGGGAGAGGGGCGGGTGGGAGTTGGAGAAGGTAAAGTGTGGAATGGGAAGGTCTGGGGAAGAAGGAAGTGAAGAGGCTTGAAAGAGCACAAGGAATATTCCATAGGCCTCCTGCAGGGTCCTGGCTGCAGCTTCTCTGCTGCCTGTCACTCCTCAGAGCAAGCTGAGATGGGGCTCCGTTTTTTTTAAGGGAAACATCCCTAGGGCATCAGCTTCTAATTTGCACATGGAGTGCTGTGAGCTCGCCCAGTTCCTGCTTAACCGGTGTGAGTTGGCTTTCTCTCTTCTCACTTCTACATGAGATCCCCAGGGGCTGCCTGATGCGTAGCCGATTCCCTAACCACTTTATGGTGTGAACATCTGTTAGAAGATGGTAATCAAGCTTAGATATGTTTGGGGATGCTTTGAAATTTCCAAAACTTCTTGGGGAACTTTCAGACATAGCAAGAAATAAAACCCCATATTGACTATCAGTAGTGACAATATTCCATATCAAACAGAACGGGTCGAAAAGCAAAACACCACAATGCCCTTGTCTTCTTTAAACTTGAAAGATTTTCCAGTCTGGTATCAACACACACACACACCATTTTTTTTTCCACATCTTAACAGCTGGCCTCCAAAGGCCATTTAGGGAAGGAGGGAGCTGTCTCCTTGCAGGGAGGTGTGGTGAGTTCATGGAGAGGAATGGGGCACCAGGGGCACAGTATTAGCAGATACCTTGATGTAGAGGAGGGGAAGTCTAAGCCTACAGTGCTTGAAGTCAAAGAAAGAATCTAGTGTGTTACTTCGGTCTGGGGAAGAGAAGGGAAAGAAGGAAGGAAAGAGGCAGAGAGTGGGAAGGTGAGAGGAGAAAGAGGGAAGTTGAGATGTAGTGGGAAGGTGAGAGGAGAAAGAGGGAAGTTGAGATGGGTCATGAGGAGCCAGGACAAGAGTGACCCCTCATCCCATTTCAAGTAAGCATGTTTGCTACTGCTGAGGTGCAAACCTCCTTCCATCTCTATGGTAAATTCTATTCGCTTTATACACACAAATAGGATCTTGGAGTCTTGAGGCCCAAGAAAATAAAAGCCTCTTGGGACAACACAAAAGATCCAGGATGTGGGCGTCAGATTTCTTGGAATTGGACTCAGAGGACTATGGATGACATCTTTAAACATTTTTTTTGAGATTTTACTTATTTTAATATGTGTGTGTTTTGCCTGCATGTATGTCTGTGCTCCACATTGTGCAGTGTCCGCAGAGGCCAGAAGAGGGCGTCAGAGCTTCTAGAACTGGAGTTACTGGTGGTTGGTAACTATGTGGGGCTAGGACTCAAACCTGGGTTCTGTGAAGAGCAGCCAGTGCTCTTAACCACGGAGCCATCTCTAATTGTGCCCCCAGCTGACATCTCATTTTGATCTTTCCTTCCCACCAGGTCCAGTATAAAACACACACACTTTTGTCTCCATTGGGCTCTTCCTTGGAAGTCAGTCCTTGATTTCCAGGTCCTGTCTGGCCTGGGGATTTCAGAAAGCTGTTGAGCCTTTAATTACCTGCTTATACTCTCTAATTGCCGCAGATAAGACCTGCGGCTAATTCCAGCCTCCAGAAGGCAATTACTTCACCTCTTTTCAGGATTACTTTACTCTCAGTGTCCTGACTTTTTTTTTTTTAATGTTTCTTTGAGTATTCTCTTTTCATTTTGCTGAATCAAGTGGGGGGGCCATAAATGAACTCCAGAGTGATTCTGGGATGGTGTGAAAGAAAGGACGGGAGAATCTAGGGTCCAGTTTCAACTCTAACCGTCAATCTCTTGGAGTTTATGTTTTTGGTGTATAAAATGGGAATTTGAATGACAGCATTGTAAAGAATAGTCTAGGATAGGGGATAGAGAGATGATTCTTTGGTACTTGTCTTGAAAGAATAAGGACCTCAGTTGGATCCCTAGAACCCATCGGGACAGAGATGGGGTGGGGGGAGCCGAGAATGGTGGTGTATGCTTTCGATCCTCATGCTGGGTAGGCAAAGATGAGTGGGTGTTTGACACAACGTTCCCGGCTGAATCCTGACTCTACAGGGTCCCCTGGGTTTCTACTGAACGTGTTCATGCTTCTCTTCCCCCTTTCCTGGAGGCCACAACTGTGATTGAAGTGACATTAGATAGAATACCAAAGGTAAGCCATTCCGTTTGTGAACCCAAGTTTTAAGCCAATAATTCTTGTTTACTCTCTCATCTTTTTCTTTGAACTGTGGAAAATACGATTCACTAAGACTGAAGAAATTGCAAAAGAGAATTTAAAGTGGTTTCCTTGCTGGCAGTCTTCAATAACTGCTTTCAAATTCCAGCAAACTCTCCCCCGTTTTTTTAAAAAAATAATATCTGTTTGGTTTGGATGTGCAAAGCTACCCGTTTCCACAGGAAAGATTTTTTAAATCCTTTCATTCCACCAAGGAAGCATCTGGGGATTTCATTTGGAAAGAAG